AATTTTTCATAGAAAAAAAGAAAAAAATTGTAGGAAATTAGAGTTTTACTGTCAAAAACGAGTTGATGCAAAAAAGAATTTAATTTTTCGAAGTTGCAATATTAAATAAAAACTTCTTTAAATTTCCTTTTCTCTTTCTTCAGCTCTTCAAATATTTACAATAATAATTTTTATACATTATTTTTTTATTTTATAAGATTAGAAGCAATTGAAAGAAATATTTTCCACAAATTTCGGATTACAATTTTTTTCACTAGCTTTGTAACACCCAACAACCTGCAGGGTCTACTTATTTATACATACATACATATGTATGTATGTATGTTCATATACAATGCTAAGTGTGCGTGTGTGTGTGTGCGCCCTGTCAAAGGTTCGCCGTAGCATCAACCAAATTGTACACTTCTAAGAAATATTTAAGCCTCTAGAGTTTGTCTGTCCGACATCATAACAGAGCGTAGATCCTTTGCACACAAGATACTGGCAGATATTTAGATACATTTGTTTGTGTTTATATGTATATATATTATATATATAGTACATACAAATACTGACTTTTGTATAATATGGTTATGTGGTCGGTGTGCCATAGAGCCAGCTTAGCTACCCCCATTGCACATGCCTACACTTTTATTGATTTTCGCTTCAGTTTTACGTATTTATGCCCAAAGAGTGTGTTTCTTTGAATATATGTATGTATGTATGTACGTACACGTTCACCTTTCTTTGTAGATACACTTTAGCTTAGTTGTTGCAAAAGACAAAGGAGTATTGTTGTTGTTGTTGTTGTTGTTGTTTGTGACATTGCTGCTGCTGCTGCTGCTGTGGATGTTCGCATTTTCTGTTAGAATTTTATTTTCTACTACAAAATTATTGTTCTACTGTTGTTGTTGTTGTTGTTATTATATTTATTATTATTATTATTATTATTGTTGTTGTTGTTTTCATTTGCTACTTTATATTCGTGCATTGTTTTTATATACACTCGACATTTTATTTCACAATTTTTTCATCTTTCTTCTTATTTGCTGACTTCAGTTTTCCCTCTTGTCGGATGTTTTTTTCCATTTTTTTTTTGTTTTCTTCTTTTACGCTACAACTTCTAGCTTTTGCTCGATTGTTTCAGGAATAAACCTACATACACACATATATATGTATACACTTCTACTTATCCTTTATGAAGGCCTTGTAGCCAGCAAGTAGTAGAACTCCACGCGTTGCTCGTGCACAACCCCCAGTTATTGCCGCGACAACGATAAACCCAGAGCTATCCGCACAAACCAAACCGTACATCCAATAGGCCGTCCGTCCGTCCGGGCGACCGTCATCCTGGCAAGAGGCGCTTACCAACCAACCAGAGAATAACGTCAGTTGAAATTGTAAAGCATATGAACGTGTTACATGGATTCGTCCGTCCTCAGCTCACAGCATCTATAGCTGCTGCCAATTCAAGCGTCGTAACCAAAATCTTGCTATTGGCGCAGATGCTGTTGTTGATGTTAAAACAACCCGCAAACCATACATACACACACTCAAACACACACATAAAATGGTACGAAAGTAGAGAAATTGCCATTGTTATTGTTCTAGAGGCAGTGGCTACTGTCGTCTTAACAATATGACAAACGTCTGATGTGCTTTATATGTAATACATAAGTGAAGAGTCTCGAAATAGGTTGTGTTATAGAGGTGAGCTTGGCAGTGCTCTAGTCGAAACCGAAGTTTTGAAGTTTGCTTTATTGGAGCTGGGATCTTCTCAGTTCAGTCGTATAATATCAGAATCGGGCATTTCTGGAGTTTTTCTACCACGCTCCCATTTCCCAATTTACAAGCGTGTTCAGAAAGATTGTCACTAAGCGTTATACGGTAACGAGAACTTTTCAAATTTATCTTTTTAAAACTCAAACAATTGCTAAAGATTTAAGAAGACCAAGACTCCAAAGCAGTTGTTATGTTGCGTTCTCTTTACAGCGGCGTTCTTCTGAAAGAATCGCTCGTGTCTTCATATCTTTTTTATATCCGAAAAACTCGTTCGTCGGTGTGATATGGAGCTGAGGTTGCCGCCGCTGGTGCCCTTTTTGGTGAAATCGCCAGAAACAAAGTGGAGCTATTCAAATTTCCTTCGCAGTTGCAACTTCCGAACTAAAAGTGATGAACCGTCACAACTCTACTCCCCTGATTGTTGACAACACAGACAAGTAGAGTGAGCCTATTAGCAGCGTAAGAGCAAAATACTAAGGAAACTTACGAACTTAATAAGCAGGAGTAAAACAAAATGAAGTTGGTGAACAGTCACCATCAAAATTACTTACACATATCGACGTTTGTTGTGAGCTCACTCTCGTTATACTGAATAGCATGCATGAAGCTAGGAGCTACACGTACAATGTTTGTGCTCCTTGGCTACAACTAAATCAACGACAGCAGCAATGATAATGTTTTGCATCTGAAAGACGTTCTACTACTTACTTGTTTGTGCAACATACATATTTTGATATTTCGAATTTTATAAGTTTACACAAAAAACTTCAACGAACCAGAAGCAGGCTTGCTTAAGCGGGTGTACGTGGCAATGGAGTTTTAGTATGCTTTTGGGGTGACGTTCTTATAGAAATAACAATAGCTACGGTGGCAACAATATTACATACGGGATTCTGCCATCACCAAATGTCTATCGACAATAACAACAACAAAACAACATAAACTGAAATTCCTTCTCCACTTGATCTGCCGCCAAAGTGCGGCTCTTCTTCTCAGTGTGACAAACTACTCTGTACTTTGATGCAAAACAATGCGTTTTCTTTTTATTTTTGCAAGCGTTGAAGTGCAGGAAATCGTACATCGTCCATATGCGCACATAGCCATACATATGTACATACTCGTATGCATAGAATCATGCGTCTTCACTGAGAAAGCTCTTGCGCCTGGGATGCTTCAGCTGTACTGGGCTCTGCTTCGTGTAGACAAACGCCAAATGCAATAAATAAATATGTATTTTGTGGATTCTTGTTGAAGTAGGAAAAAATGTAATCGCCTCTAGTAATATCCTTTTATTGTGCTTGGTCTATTATTTTAATTTAATTTTATTTTTTTCCATTTTCGATTTATATTTTTGTGTATTATTTTTTGGTTGACTGATTATATTTGAAATTCTCTCTTTTTCTTTTACTTGTTTCTTTTTTTCAATTCTTTCCTCTCTTTGCTTTTTTACATGCATAATGCATAATTGGATTATTTAAATAAATCTGTTATTGTTATTGTTATTGTACTCACTTAACTATAAATAAACTTCTGCTTGTTGGCATTCGTTTTTTTTTTTTTTTTTTTGAAACCTAAGTAACGAGAAGCAAATATTTTTTTTTTTTTTTTTTGTTGCCGGTTGATTGTATTGAGTTGATGTTTACAGAACATTAAGAGTAGGTTGGCAAGCAACAAGAGAATTATGCATTCGTACATACATATTTAGCTTCGATTATTTACGCTTGTCAATTTCAGCTTTCAGTCCTTTTAATTCAATGCCTCTTTATTGCTCATTAGTGGTATCAGTTGTGCCGCTCAGTTATGAATTTTATCCGATACAATTTTTTTAATTTTATATTCGTTAGTATTGTACACCTGTTTCTAATTCTTGTAACCTAAAAACATGTACAAACATATAAGCTCATACATATGTACATACGTATTCTGACGGTTTATGTCAAGGCAAATTGAAATTTTTTTTAAATATTTGTAAAATTAAATTAATTGTCAAATGAAATAAATAAAATTAAATTAAATAAAATGAAAATAAAAAATATTAAAAAAATGAAATAAAATACAATAAAATAAAAAAAAACATATTAAAGTGAAATAAAATAAAAATGAGAAATTTTCTTTAAATAAATGAAATAAAATACAATAATATAACGTTAAATAATTTAATAGGTAATAATATGATATAGAATAAAATAAATTNAAATAAAATTAAGTAAAATTAATTAAAATGAAATGAAATGAAATGAAATGAAATGAAATGAAATAAAATTAAGTAAAATTAATTAAAATAAAATAAATGAATTAAAGTAAAATAAAATAAATAAAGTAGAAATAAAATAGAAATAATTAATTAAAGTAAAATAAAATAAAATATAAAAAAATAAAAATTATAATTAAATAAAACATAAAGAAATTAAGAACAAAAATTAAATGAAACGAAATCGAATAATAATAAAATAATATAAAATGAAATAAAATAAAATAAAACAAAATTAAATAATATAATTATATAAAAATAAAATAATTAAATAAAAAATAAACTAAATTAAATGAAATTGCCAACATGAAATAAAATAAATTGAAAAAAAAAAATAAAATGAAATGAAATGGGAAATGAAAATAGAAAAATTAAATTAAATTAAATAAAACAATTAAAAAAAAATAATATAAAATTAAATAAAAAATAAATAAAATAAAATTACCAACATGAGATAAAATGAAATAAGTAAAATTAACAAAATTCAATAAAGTAAAAAATGAATTGAAATGAAAAAATACTGAGAAAATTCAAATAAAATAGAATGTAATTAAATTTAACTAATTGTAGAATAAAAAATACTAGTAAAAGTCCGTGCACACCTAATTTTAACATAATTCCAGTTGAAATAAAATAAAAAAAATTAGGAAAAATTTTCAAACATCAGTTAATAAATTTAAATGAAATTAAATTAAAACTGATTAAACAAAAGCAAATAAAATACAATATATAAGAAAATTAAAAGCAAATAAAATATTTATAACTATTTTCAAGGAATTTAAAAATGTATGCCAACCTCTTTTTTCTGTATAGCTTCTCAAAAATTATCTAGTATACATGTTTATGTTCATATAAGTGCAAAATATACGGTTTTAGATATATTTTTCAAAATACGAATTAATTATTTAATTCAAAAAAATTTATCAACAATTCGTTACCTTCTTAAGAAAAAAGTCTTAATTTATGTTATTTTTCTGCACTTTTTCAGGAATATTGTCTCCTCCGGGTCCGTTTTTAACGCCGAGTCCGTCGCCATCAATATCAGCTAGTCCGCGCTTGCAACCGTCGCCCTCATTGTCGCCATTTCCTCAAGATGTTTTACTCGTAGCTGGTAATACAATCACTAACGCCACACACGATCAGGTGAGTATTAGCTTTTTGCGTTGAATCTTGCAAAAATAACAAAGAAATTTGCATATGTACTGAAATTTAAATTTGATTTTCCCTTCAAGGAACGAAAAACTGCCACACCGGGACGCAGACAATCGTTGCATCAGTTCACAAATGGAAGTCCGAACGCCGGCACCGTTGTATTCCAACCAAGTCCATCGCAGTCACCAGCGGCAGCGACCAGTGTTATTGGTGTGACAGCCGGTGTAGGTGGCGCAGCGATTGCGGCAACAACACCAGCTGCTGGTAATGAATTCAACACAACGCTTGTTGGTTCCAATAATATACAATTGAATAAGGTAAGTACAGTGCAGTGGGTGTTAGAAATCTCTCGTATGTATTTAAAATATATATTTTTCTTTATTAATTACACACAACACACACACACACACACATACACACTCATTTCTTTGGCAGAAGGGCAATAAGCGCATCACTCAGCAACAGCAGCAGCAATTACAACTACAACAACAACATCAACAACAGAATCAACTAAATCAACAGCATCACCAAATATTCAGCAGTGCTGTTACACCAACAACTTGCCACACTGCGTCTTCGATCTCGAATACTGTAGCCGGCGGCTATGGGCAATCACATGCAGCAGCGATCAATACGTCGAGTTCGTTTGCGGCAGCAAATGTGGCTGGTTGCCCAAAAGGTCAAGCGAAAAAAGCCGCCGCCGCCACAGTACTACCAACGTCATCGACGTCCTTAAGTCAGCAACAACAACAACAACAACAGTTCCAACACTATCACAACAATAGTCCGCTGATAGCTGACAGTCCAATACCGAGTCCTAGCAATACAATTACCGCCGCCACAATAAAACCGTCAACACCACAACCAATGCAAATGTTGCAACAACAATTCACTATAACCGGCAATGCGCCACATCAAACAAATCAGCCGCAACAACATACGCAGCAGGTCTTTCAAATTATCCAAGGTCCGCAGGGGCAAATCGTTGCGGCGCCGGCGGGTCAACAGCATACGCTGCAACAACGACTGATAGGCAGCACCGCAACAGTTCAAACCCATCTGGCGCCGACGTCGTACAGCAGTCTTAACAGTACAACAACGAATTCAAACACAAAAGCAACAAAGACGCCGCAACAAATACTGCCAAAGCCACAGCAACAATCCTGCAATGATGCCAGTCAAAATCAACAACAACAACAACAGTCACAGCAACAAAAAGGTAAAGGTGGTAACACGGCTACCGCCACTGTACACAGTCATACCAACAATATGGCGCAAATGCCCCAAATCTCACAGTCGCCGCAACCGCAACAGGCACAGCTCAGTAATTCGGGTGGTTCCGCGCAACAGCAGCAAATATTGCTGCCAAATGGCGCTACAGCCAGTCTGACAACACAACAGCCATTACTACTCAATCAAATGCCCGTTCTAGTACAACAAAATACACCGCAAGGCGTGCAATTGATACTGCGACCGCCCACACCCCAGCTAACGGCTGCGCCCTCACTGGTCATACAGAATGCGCGTCCTCAGGCGCAGTTGCAACAACAGCAACCACAACAATTACTGCGAATTTTGGGTACAAATGGAGCAACCATGCAACTTGCTGCCGCTACACCCACCTTTATAGTGTCCTCACAGGCCAACCTCATACAACAGACTGCAAATCATATACAAACGATTAAAACAAATCCACAAAATCCGGCCATAACCCATCTGACAGGCTTGCATGCCGCGCTCTCGGCATCAAATCAGCAACGATCTCAACAGCCGTTCACCACAACGGCCACCATAAACACCAGTCACCTGCTGGGTCCTAGCGTAGCTGCGCAACTGCAAAATCTGCAGCTAGCCGCGGCAGCGGCAAATGGCGGCAGTATAACCCAAATCCAAATGCCGAACGGACCACAGACAATTTTGTCACAGTTACCGGCGCAATTTCAGCAGAGCTTGAACAATGCCGCTGCTGGTGGTGGTTCACTCATCAATTTGAATCAGTTAAGTGGTGCCAATATACAACAACTGGCAGCTGCTGCAGCAGCGGCGGGTGCCACCTTCCAAACACCACCACCGCCACCAACATCTTCCAGCGCCAATGTGGAACTTTTTAATGCGCAACAAAATTCGCTGCCCAGTTTAACTCAGAACACCTCCCATGCGTCAGAACCAACACGACAATCGACGCCGACTTTGGTGCAGAATACTGGCGCCACAGTGACAATAAATCAACAACAACTGACAAACGGACTTCAAGGCAGCACACTGATGAGCGCTGGCTCTACGAATAATGGCACAGTAAATGCTTCAATACAAATCCAGCAGCAGCAGCAGCAGCAGCAACAACAACAGCCACCGACTGAACCAAAAAAGAAAGCTAAGCCTCGCAAAAAGAAACAACCTGCTGCCAGCGCAGCATCAGCAGCCGCGGCTGCCATTCAGTCACCGGCGATAACAACAACTGCGCCTTCACCATCACCTACGCAAGTAAAGAACAACATAAATGCTGTACCCTCTACATCAACAGCAAATGCGATAGCAAGCAAATTCAACACGCCTGCTGCGAGCATGAGTTTCAACGCGAGCGGTATGCCGCAACTGCAATTTACGCAAACTTCACCTCAAAATGTAAAGCTAACTTTCACCAATAGCAACAATGTGAACAACGCACCGATTCAAATCAACCCATCGCCGCAACAGCAACAAGAACAGGCGCGTCCAAAACTTGACCTTGGCAATGTCATGAAGCAATGTGGTATTATGGAGGATGAGTTGGATGACGAAGATTTTATGGACTCAATGTCAACACATGACGAACGAGTGCCGACGCCAGCTACCAATGCGACACAGTCGCACCCGCAGACATCCACACAAGCACCGTCGTCAGCAATACACTCGAACACACACACACCGGCACCACCGAACCCCAACGATATTATGATCTCGATACCCAGTCAGAACGGCACGGACTCCCTGCCGTTTACAGTAACAATACCGGCATCGGCGGCGTTAAGTGCTGCTGGTACCTCTAACAATAGCGGACACGACCATACGACTGAGCCACATAACATCTTTATTAAGATAGATCAAAATGACACAGCTTCAACGCCGTATACAATCTCGATACCGCGACTGCCAACTGCAGAGGAGATTCAGCAACAGGCACAACAGCATTTAGCGCAACAAGCAGCTGCAGCAGCGGCCGCCGCCGCCGCAGCTCAACAACAACAACAACAACAACAGCAGCAGCAACAAAGCAATAATAAATTGGCGCCCCCAACCATGAACTTCACCTTGTCCGCGGGTAATTTGCCACAATTGCAAGCAATGCAGCAGCAACAACAACAGCAGCAGCAGCAGCAACCGCCTCCACAGCCGCTTTTTAATATTACGGCCAGCGGTGCTTCGCTGCAATTGCCGCCGTCATCCAATAGCAATCCCACAGTAGCCATAACAACACCTGCAACCACGACAACAACAACTACGACGGCAACAGTAAAGCCGCGTCGTAAACCGGCGGTGCGACGCAATGGTAAAAAGCAAGACGCCAATAATGTATCAACGCCAGCAGTGTCCACGGCGTCAACTACAGTCAGCGCAACACCGACATCAATAACTACAACAACAACGACCACGAACAGCGTGTCTATGATGCCATCCCTGACTACCACAATCACGCCGGCCATGCCCACTTCGTCAGCTGCGCAACAGCAACAGCAACAGCATGGCGTTGGTAACGCCTCAACTTCTCACACAACAACATCACCGGTACTAACGTCAACGACATCAACAACAGCTTCCTTGGCCACAACGGTGACGGGTGCGCCGCAAGTTCCTAGCCAAATTGGCAATATACAAATATCGCAGGTGGACGCAACGAAAATGCTGCCAAATCATAATGGTGGCGGTGCTGTGGAGAATAAAATTCAAATAATGCCGATTTTGGATAGCGTTACGGGTACAGGTGGAGGAGGTAAGTTTGATTTATTTTTATTTTTTATAGCAAATATGATTTTGAATAATAATTTTAATGTGCAGAAAAGTTTGTTTGTGGGGGGGTAGTTACAAGGAGAGGTCCACAATGAAATTGAATTAAAAAGAAAATAATTCATTTATTATTTTTAAAATCTCATCTTGTTGCTTTGGTGCAAATAAATTTGTTGTAAAACAGCTGTTTGCTTTGGTAGTTACATTTGAACATGCTCATTTTTACAGTTTAATTTTTCTGCTTTTAAGTATTTTCCTATGTAATTTACTACAATTGGCAATTATATGGCATATTTAATTTATTAGTTGCAATTAAAAATTATTATAAAGCAACAACTATGTAATTCTATATAATTCATAGCCTTTAAAGAAACAAATATGATTTTTCAGATAGTTCTCAAAATGAGGAAGAATTATTTAAAAATTGCCTTGCAACAATTTATCGCTTAGATTTTCAAAAAGGATAAAATACCAAATGAGCTTGAAAGTCCTTTTCTGTGTAAGCCGGGCAATATTAACTGAATACTATAATAGAGTTTCTTCGATTCTGTTAAAATGAAATCCTAACAAGGGCTATAGTTTTCCTTTTAACGGTGTATGATATTCCACTTTGTCCATCATCGTCGCTTCGGGAAGCTTAATTATGCATTATCGTCATTGGGACCGTAGCAACAGCCTTCCTTCGCAAAGTTTTGGAGCTCATTTGGTTCACACTGCTTTCCAGTAAATTTAAGGAATCTAAAATTAATTTGGGTTTTACAAAAAATAATAATATTAAATAATATAATAATATAAAAATATATACATATATATTCAAGCTCTAGATAACCGGATTCCGAGCATTGTAAGCTGCACTAGTTCTAGGTGCTCAACTACTCAAATGAAAGTATGAAATTTTTGAAAATTAATTTTTGTTTGTCAAAAGTACTTTAGTATTGCTAAGAGTTTTACACTTTGCATAAATAAAATTAAATTTATAGGAAAAAAAATTCTGCGAAAAAAGTCAAATTTTTTTTATCCAGAAATGCTCGAAAAGTTTGTATTGTACACGTTGCGCAAATGCTCGAGCAGCTCGAAAATGTTCGAACAACAGCTTGTGCTCTAATATACATACATACATATATTTTAATTATGTACGAGTGCCTTTCTTAAAATTTAAATTATTAATAACATTCAATTAAATCGAAAAAAATTCCATTTAATCATTTATTTTGTTACTATATCGTTCATATTAAATTTTATTGTTATGAATATTATTTTCATTCTAAATAATTTTTGTTTTGTTGCCATAATTTCAATCATTTGATCATCACTTCAGGTGTTTTTCATAATTGCTAGCTTTTATTGGCTGGAATTTCCCATCAGGAATTTTGATCTCTGACTCACCGTGCGCTGTTCAGTAGGCAGTTTTACTGCCCATCCGTGTCAGCGAACAGGAGTATTGTCGTCCAAAAATTTTGCTTTTCTTAAGTCGGCCTCGTACACAACGTTGCCAATGCAATATTTTGTTCCTTTTTGGTTTCATGTCCTATTTTTGCACTAGGCAATGGTTTGCACCAATTGCTTCAATATATCGTCATGTCTATTGTGTCTATTGCTGATACTTTGTTTTTGTTATTACATTGTCTTAATATTTTTTGCTGTATTAAGTACCGTATTAGGTTGTTTCTTTATTATGTGACGCCTTTTGGTCAATATTTTGTTTATAACATTTTTTGTTGTATTGATTTTCATTGGTTGGGAAAATAGAAATTTTATCAGGCGACCGGAAGAATATTAATCGAGAATAATTTTCATTAAGTATTATTTTTGTGTTTTTGTAATTGATAATATGTTGAAATATTCTTATTTTGTTATGAACTTAATGTCACTATCGTGATGTGTTTTTAGATCTACAATCGTATTTTCATGAAGGTCGTCCATTAGAAGAGAGAGTGTTTTCTTTAAGCATTCAATGTAATCCACAAATACAAGATGCAGTTGCTGCAGTGCTAGTGACCAGTGGTTTCTCACTTTTGTATACTGAGGAATTTCGCCTTAAATAGTTCGTATATTATTATTTTTTTTCTGTTTATCCACTAGGGAATGCTTGTTTTGTCCGCTCTAATTGTTTTGTAGGTGGTTTGTGTTCATCTTTCCTACGTATGTATGTACCCTGTTTTGTATATTGCCACTGTCTTATTGTTTTTGTTGTTGTTGTAACCGCAAAAATTTTACTCAAATTAATTTTTGGGGAATATTGCGGGACTTACAGTCCTTGGCTGGAAAAAAATCCGGGTAGTTGCGGTATGAAGACCCGACTATGACAGGATATAGGATTGGATTTTAGTCGCCTCTTACGGCAGGCATAACTTACCGCGGGTTAATTCTTGAACCCCTAACCCGCAGGGTTGCCACTGTCTTATTGCCTTTCTCTGCTGCTATTATCGCTATGTTGTTATGGGATTTCAGCAACGTTTTTGCTTTGTTGAAAGCTGCTAAAATAAACTTATCGAAAGATTATGTTTAAAATTTCGTTTGAAAAAGGAGAATCCCGTTGCTGGGTTTGTTTCTTGCCTTTTCTTTGACTTTTTCGTTATGCTTACTTCTTATTATTTGTGCCATTTCTGCGATCTTCTTTTTTTTTATTTGGGAAGGTGATTTTTTCCCGCAGTGAGAGCATCCAACCAACTCACCTTCGGGAAATTTTATGTATTAAGTTGATCAAGTTTATGATATTGCTTTAGTGCTAATAAAATAATTTTTCTTAATCGGGCCACACACCCACATCTCATTGACTAACTGAACTATTCACTGCACTGTTTATATCAGTAATAAATTCTACCTAAAACTGTTATTTGAATTATTTTTTTTAGGTTCCAACTTTAAGTTGACAGCAATGCCACCGACTTCGCAATATCAAGCACAGTCGCAGCAGCATCAACTGCTACAACAACAACAACAGCAGCACCAACAACAACAGCAAAATCTCTTTCAGCCACCAACGTCGCACACTCAGGCAAACGTACAAACACAGGATCCACCCGCCGCAACAATCAAATTAGCCTCCGATGGCCGGCAGGTGCAGCTAGTAGCCATACCACAAACATCGGGCCCACCCGCCATGCCACCGGCAACACTGGTTTCAACTAATCAAACACCAACAGTACAACAACAACCCACCAATTCGATGGCTTCTGGCAGTGGAAGTACTAATAGTAGCATTCCAGCACCGCCGCCCACATCCACTACCATACTACCACCCCAATTCACCGGCATGCCGAGCAATGTATCGATATCGGTGGGTTCGCCGGCAACAGCAGCTGCGCTTCTGCCACAACTCACCGGTAGTCTTACATTGGCCGTATCGGAGCAGGGCGATTTGATATTACGACACAATGCCAATCAGCCACAGGACCAACAATCGCAACTCCTACTGCAGGCACTGCTCAAAGGTGCCTTGCCAAATGTGACAATAATCAACGAGCCGACCAAGTTGGACAGTAGTAGTAATAGCAGTGGTAGCAGCAGCAGCAGCGGCGGCGGCAACAATAACAACGGCGGTGCTGCCAACAACCAGCAGAACCAGCGTGTTGGATTGAATCCCGCCACACCACAACTGCCGACACCTCCGGTGTTGAACAGCGCGCTGCAGTCTCAGCAAACTAAAACGATGATCGTGTCCGGTGGTAGTGCGGGTGCCATAAGTAAGATTACGCTGCCTGCGCATATGGCGGCACACGTGGCAGGGAAAACGCCCACAATACAATTGCAGTTCAATACTGCGGCCGCGACTGCTACTGCGGCTGCTGCAGCTGTGCTGTCGAGCAGCGCTGCAAATACGGGTACAACTACGAGCGGACCGTCACTGCAGCTACAGTTGCCACAGCAATCACCGCAACAGCAACATCAAAAACAACCGCAGCAGCAGCAGCAACAGCAAGTCATGAGCAACGCGACACGAACGTCGGAGATTACCCAACAGTTTTTGCAACAGCAACAGCAGCCACAACCAATGCTTCCGCAGCCGCAGAGCAATACATCGCTTGGTGCCGCTTCGCTGGCCGCTCAAAATCAGCAACGTTATGTCTCCCTACCAAAAATAAATGCTGCTACACAGCAAATATTCTCGCTGAACAGCGAGACCAACCAAATCACACCCATTAGTCCGGCACAAACCGCCGCTTCAATCGGACCCAATGAACGTCTGTTGATCGCGCCAGCCGGCATTAATGCCCAGCAATTGGCACAGTGCCTACAATTGGGTCAAATACATTTCAACGATGTGAATCCGTTGCCGCCCACCACACAACCGCAACCAGCGTCAGGCATGGGAATAAACCCGGCGCTGAACGCCAACCAACAAGCCGCACAGCTGCAGCAGCAACAACGTTTAGGACCACAGCAGCAAATTGTGCATCCGCAGCCCATACAACCACTAAGTAATGTGTCGAGTGGGATCAGCACTAGCAGCAGCGTCAATACAACTTCGACCACCGTGACCAAGCAGGTAGCAAATGTGGCGCCCATTATTGATCAGAGCAAAGCCAAATTAGAGCCGCCGAAAGCCGCAACGCCAACTGGAGCGGTTGCCAAAAAGAAGCCAGTGCGCAAGCCGAAAGCTACAACCACCGCAGCTGATGTAGCAAGCGGAACGGCAGGCATTAAAAACGCAAGCGTTGTGAAGCCCATGCCCAAATTGGATCCACTGTCACAGAAGCCGAACAATAACCCAGTGCAGATAGTCCAACCGAATGTGGCTAGCGGCAAGCAAATAGGTGCTGCCGCGGCGTCTGGCAATCTGACAACAACAACGGCTGGTAACAATAGCATACAACCGTTTCAGACGCTACAACAAACGACAAAGTTGGTTGGTGTTACGGCGCCCATGCAGCAGTTGGCCACCTCCGCTACGAATGCTCAACCGCAACAACAACAACAGCAGCAGCAACAACAAGTGCTGTCATCAAGCAGTGCGTCAATAATCGTGTCATCGTCAAATATGCGGAGCTTCGTGAGCAATGCAAATGTTGCAGGCGGCTCTACCACACTCGCGAACAGCAACCTTAGTGGCACTGCTAACACCAGCAGCAGCAGCGGCGCCACTCTTGTAACGCCGACTTTCACAAACAGCAATGAGCCACCGTCATTAGCGGCACTGAACTCAGCGAACAACACCAATGTTATGCAACAACAGCTGGCGCCAACAACGCTCGCGCAACCTCAACAATCGCCGCAGCCACAACAACAGCAACAGCACACAGTGTCACGTGTACAAACCATTCAATTGACCGCCCAACAGCAACAAATGTTCAAACAAGTGCAAATGCAAATACAATTCCTCACCATTAAGCTGCAGCATAAGTCGATGCTCACATCACTGCCACGACCGCCAGACTTTGATCCGACTATCATCGCCGCCTACAACAAACCCATGAGCGATGCCGAGATCAATGTAGCGCTACAGCGACTTTACACCGAGCAACACCGCATTTTAGCGGCGGGTAAGGAGATGCCTACGCCCGAAGCGTACCTTCAGATGCCACCCATAGGCAGCGGTCCTGGCATAACGCTGATGGCGCAACCGCAACAAATACAACAACAGCAACAGCAGCAGCAGCAACAGTCAGTCGGTGTTGGCAAAGTGAACCAAACGGGCATACCGGCGAATGTGGTGCAACCCAATAATCATTCATCTACGACTATTGGTGCGACCACTTTGAGCGGTGCGGTGGCGGCGGCACAACAGGTACAGCTACAATCGCAGGCACAGGCCCAGGGTGGAGTTACACATAGGATTCACGTATATCCTATGCAGCATCACCAAACTGTTCAACAGAATAAGCAGCAGCAGCAGCAGCAGCAACAACAACAACAATCGAAGCCACCAGCGACGACGCCTCGTGGCAACGTCAATTCCGGGTCCAGCTCCAATAGCAACAACAGCAAGGGCAAGAGCTTAGCGACCGGACTGCAACAGCAACAACAACAACAGGGGGCGCAGAATATCAACAGCAACAATAGTGGCTTGGCGCCTTTAAGCCAACAGAAGCAACAACCAACGCTGGTGCCTGTAGCCAAGGCGCCTGCTTTGCACTATCAGCAACAGCAGCAGCAAACGCAGTCACCTCAGCAACAGCTGCAACAGCAACAACAACAACAACAACAACATTTTATGCTACAAAAGCCCGTAGCAGTAAACAGCAGCAGCGGCAATAGTACAAACGTCATGAACGGTCCACCGCCGTTGGTATTCTCCAACCCTTTGATGGCGGCGGCGGCGGCGACAACAAATAACGCAAGCACAACATCAGCAGCGGTAACTCTTTTCGCGACGAACGCAAATGGGTTCTTACAACAACAACAACAACAACAACAACAACAACAACAACAACAACAACAACAAACGCTGCAACAGCAGCAGCAGCAGCAACAGCTAAACCACTTCTGCCAAAGTGTGGCCACCAGTCAACCGACAATCGCCAACCCAACCAGCTTTGCTTTTGCAAGTACAACAACAACAGCGTTTACCACCTCTAATCAAATAAATACGATGGTGACAACTGCCGCCACTTCAGCGACTCCAACTCCAAGCAACACTCCATCTCTAGCCTCCACCACTGAAGTTAATCCAACAACAGCAGCAGCGACAAATGTCATAGCAACAGCTGCGGTCGGTGCAACAGCGATGGCAATGTCAAGTGCAACAACAACTCTGGCCACGCCAACACCCGCGGTACAACTGCAGGGAAATATCTCGTCATTTGCATTAGCCAACACCCACAACACAGCCACCCCAACGACAGCCGCCACAATGACGACAGCGGCAATGCTGGGCACTCATATGATCAAACACGAAGAGAGCTTGTCGCCGCAGCCGAAACTTGCACGTCTTTCTTTGTGAGTAGTTGGTTGAAAATACGCGATACTCAACACAACTGTCGCCTTTCGACTGCCAAAATATTTCTTTTCGCAGTTTTTTGTACTTTACTAATTACGCCATTTCTCTTTGCTACTTAGATTTCTCCAGCAATTAGAGTTGGATCAGCAGGCGTGTCTGAAACCCGATTATCTAAATCCCTTCCAAGACAAGGAGGAGGCGGTTAAACGTCTAATAAGGTTAGTTGCTTGGCTTGTAGTTGTTTTTCTTGTGCTTTTCTAAATTACTAATTTTTACAAATCTTCGAATCCGCAGATATCATTGCATGTTTGAAAGTGTTGAGGATCTGCCATATGAGGATGATGAACGTTTCGAGCAGACGGCTGTGCAATATCAGGAAAAATACCACAAAATCTCCAGCAAATATCAAAAAATACTGATGCAAGAGTCGTCGGTAAGTAATTGGACGCGGGTACAGCCTTGTTTTAAAGAAAAGCAAAATGATTTCTTTCTCAAAAAATGTATATGTTCTAAAAATAATATTCATGTATTGAGATAGAAAATTGTAGCATTGACATGCTCGGTTGAACTCGAGTCGAAATTAAATTTGCATTGGTTGAACTATAAAGATATTTATGAAAATCTAATAACTTTTTTACAAATTCCATTATTCACAGCTGGAGCATCGCACATCAGAAACTTGTCAAATCCAACAACTAATGATTGATGATCTAAGAACCGAAATGGAGCACTTGCGAAATGGCGGGCGAGAGCTGGCACTGTACGAGCAACAACAGCAGCAACAGTCACAGCATAAAGAGATGCATGAACACGAACAACTCGAACCGAAGACTGAGTCCCAGTCGATAACAACAGCAATAACAACATCAGCACAGGAGTTAAAACAAGAGTTGAAAACTGAAAAAGACGAGCCAGGTGCGACTGAGGGTGATAAACTGAGTTTAAATTTTGACGCTGCATTTAAATCATTTGAAATCAAAACTGAGCCATTTCATGGTGGCAATGTGAAAACTAGCGACACGGGCTTGTCAAGTGCAGCAACAGTAGCTGCAGCAGCTTCAACGTCAGCACCGCAACCCTCGCCAGTTTTGGACAAATTTGACATTTTGAAACATAGCAGCGGCAATATTCCTCCAACAGATAGTGCCAACAGAAATAAACAACAATGCGTGACGCAGACTCAACCACAACAACAACAGCAACACAAGCAACAGCAGCACCACCCACAACAACCGCAAGAAAAGCAACAAAACGAGTTGGTGGCGAAAAAAGATGATAAACGCGGCTGGCATAATGCAACTGCGGCGCGCCCAGCATCCTATGCGAATACAAACATGCCCACTTTCGAATCAGACGCTGGCAAAGATAAGTTTACTGCGTCTAATTTCTATTCAAACTGCAGCAAACAGCTTAACGGTACAATAAAAAGAGAGCATGCGCCGCCAGCAGCTTATGTTAAGAAAGAATTTGAAAACTTCGATATAGAATCCGAAATAACGCCAAGCTTCATAATGAAAAAGGTGGAGCATAAGGAGGTGGAGTCGACGGTGCCTGCGCCAACGCCCTCAGCACACGTGAATAGCACCAAATCGCATGGCAAGAATGCCAGGGGGAAGAGCGATCGTGGCAATACGCTTGCGACGGAGCAGCAGCAGCAGCAGCAGCAGCATCGACAGCAACAACCCAATAAGACAACTGCAAATGCGTTAAGTAATAATGACTTTGCTGCACAGTATTTGCAGCATAACTCCAAACAACAACAATTGCAACAGCAACAGCAATTGAAGCAACAGTTAGAACAACAACAAAAACAACAACAGCAGCAGCAGCAGGAAGACGATTGGCTCTGCCTTCAGAAGGAGTTGAATCTAATGAATTCAGAGAATAAAATGCCACTGCAGAACGAACAGCAGCAACAACAACAGCACATGAATCATTTACATCAACAGCAGCAGATGTCAGCGAAAGCTCATAACCACTATGAGAACTCACCGAACAATGACAGTGGCAGCAGCAGTATGACCACGGTCAACAGCGGACACTCCAGCCATATGGTGGATCTCTTTCCGAATGGCTGTATCAACAAAAACGACCAGTTTAGCCCCAGTAGCAGTGACTCAAGTCAACATCAACACCAACAGCAATTGAATTGTGACCAGCATGGCTTGCAATCCGCCGATGACAAGCAGCAGCAGCAGCAAAAACTGCACCAACGCTACCAAAGCCAATTGGAAGAAGAGCATCAGGACACACACAATGAACTGCCACCGATCAATGAGTTCTTCGACTCCGGCGATGATATGGCCGACGTGCACAAATCAGTGGAGACTCGGCTAGAGGCAATGTTCGGTGAATCGCCTGTCCATTTAAATAAAAGCGATGGCAGCGATGCAGCCGACATCGAGGCTGGGTTGGAAGATATTTTTGGCGACAGGAAATCCGAAAACGACAATATGGACTCAAAATCGAAGCAACAACAACAACGTCTGTGGGATAGCGAGCTATCTGCAGCGAATAGTTTTATTCGTAGCACAAACGCGCAAGAGAATGTGTTGTTCGAAAGTGAGCAACAACAAATACAACTCAATCAAGAACACATTACACAAAGCATGCAATTGAACATAACAAACGCATCAACACGTTGGATGCAGAATATCGATGGTCCCTTCGGAGAATTCATAACCAATGCGAGCGGGGATGACTGCGATGCGTCGCGCAAAAGGCGTTGGAACGCCGAGTTAATGTCGGCCGATGCAGATGATACTATGGACGGTGCAAAGAAGATGTGCCACATGTCCAGCTCGTCCAGTTCGTCGACATCACCGATATCCGCACAACAACAGCGCTCGCATCAGCATCACGAAAGCATCATGGAGGCTGATCTGCTGTCACTGCACGACGGTATACGCGTGGAACCCGCAGCCGCGCAAATGTTGCAAATGTCTGCACAACAGCAGGCCGTCTTCTGTCAGACACAACATCAGTTTGGCAATCTCTTGGATGGCGTCGATCATCATCAACAGCATTTTAGCAACGCTCAACAACAACAGCAACAGCACGAACTTCAACACGACATGCAACAACAATCACATCATCAGCTGCACTCACATCTGCAGGCGCATATGCACAATAATCACATTGGCGGCGGTGACTTTGATGACGACATCAGTCGACACGTGCAGAATGCCATCGACAGCATTTTAAACTTGCAAAACAGTGAGTCGGCCGATTCACTCAATTTCTCACTGGATCACTCGATGGGCTCACTGCTCGGCGATAGCATACTTGACGACCGACAGCAACAACAAGCTACATTGAATTGTCCAGACGGTGTGAAACGAAGACACCACCTCGTTGATGAGTTGGGCGACTGTCTCATTAGCGGTGGTGGCAGTGGCCCGGCCGCGGGTGATAATGCGAGCAACATTTTGCTAGATAGCAGTCAACATCATCACGTGCAACAACAACAGCAGGCGTTGTTAAATCATACTAATCTACAGGGTATGCAGCAAAACAATCATCAGCATCACCTGCATCAACAACAGCAGCAGCAGCAACAACAACAACAACAGCAGCAGCAGCAGCAACAACAAACGCAGCAGCAATCGTTATTGGCCAACGATTTCAGTTGTGTAGCAGCTGGCTTGGTTGATGAGGCGGTCAAGTCGATAATGACCTCCTGACAACTTACTGCAGCGGATCAACAGCAGCAGCAGCAACAGCAGCAACAGCCATCAGCAGCACCTGTAACAAAACAACGCACAGTAGCGAGAACGACAACAACAGCAGCAGCAGCAATAACGGCAATTGCAGCTGGTAATATGATTGGGAATAGTCGTGGCAACATGGCAAACAGTGGCGTAATATTGGAATTCAACGCGAGCGCCTTATGAGCTGTGGGTTTTAAGAGAACTACTTCGTAGTAGAATGAGTGTAGCGTCTAAGAGAGAGGGAGATAGAGAGAAAGAGAGAGAGAGAGAGAGAGAGAGAGAGAGAGAGAGAGAGAGAGACAGCTACACAGAGCATTTGTTTGTAGTTTGTGAAATATACTTTTTTAAGGCCCTGAAACTACCACTACCAGCTGTACGTAGGGATCACATGCGTCCTCAATAGAAAAGGGGCTTAAAATTTATAATCATTTTAATATTTATCAATATTTTATTTTTTTTATGCCCTCGTTACAATTTTAACAAAATTACTCTAGTAGTCATCAAAGCCAAAAGCGCACATACTCTTTTAAAACTAATTTCAAACTTTATTTTACGTCAAAAAAAAATATTTTTTTTTTATTTTGTACCATACAACACTACAAAAAATAGAGATTGTTTTTATTGTAATAAATTATTGGCTTATTCACGGGTGCACGTGGTCAAAGAAAATATATAATATATATTTTGATGCTAAAATTAGATTTTATTGTATACATTTTACCTATTTTGTTCAAAAATAGCAACAATTTGTTTTGTTTTATATATTTTAGCTAATTTATGTTTAATTTGTTAATATCTATATATTGTATTTTAAATGTATGTATTAAGTTGTCAACGTCTTATGTATTTTTTTTTAATTGCCCTTTGAGTTTACTGTGTCTGTGCCCCATTCAAAACCTCTATGCAGTAGGCAGGCAAAGAAGTATGCACGTAATTCAATAAAGCAATACATAAATAAAAAACTGAATGGAAAGCGATATGTGAATATATAGACAAATTGCACAATTTATTTTCTTAACCGTAATGAAGCAATAAATGTTTAATTTTAAATCGTAAAAATATTTATCATTAAGCAGATAGTACTAAAAGCGTATAAGACACTAGCTAAAACTGATTTGCTTGAACATCACGCACTCCGCCACGCAACCACATAAGCTGAAAACATTTTTTCCTTTACATTTTTCCTCCTTATACGCTGTGAAAGCGAGTTGCGTATTTTATGAAAGCTCTTTGAGCTTTATGGTATGTGGTATGAGCTTTTATGAAAATTATTTACAAATAGTTAAGTGTGCAAGCAAATACGCATTTGACTGTTGGCAATTCGTTTCACCTTAATTAAACTACAAACAACAAAATAAACAAAACGAAATCGTGCAACTGAAACCACTTAAATTCATAAATGTTTTAAAAAAAAATGCTTTCGAGCAAAACAAACAAAAATTAGTGAAATTTTATTTAAAACAAAAGATATTGAAAATTTTAAATTTATGTAAATATGTATGTATGTACTTTAAAAATTTAATATGATAATACAAAATCGCCGCTAAAATTTTCACATGCGACGTGTGGACATGGCAAACGAATTGGTTGTAAACTACGCAATTATGTTTAAAAATACAATGTATGTGGCTTTCATATAACAAATAATAATATAAATTGTAATCAATATTACGTTATTAGCGCATGAAAAAAAATCAAATAAATTAAATTAAAATTAATTCAATCATGTGAAATTGGAAATTAAATTGGCGCATAAAACCAAAACAAAAGCAATGCTGCATAATAATAAATACGTTGCCAACTTTGCTAAGTAAACAAAAAAAAGAAAGTTCAAAATAAATATGCAATATAATTATGTGAAAAAAAAAATTAAAACACAAAAACTGAAAGAAAAAAATAACAACAACAACAAATTACTACTGCAGTTTAAAGCAAAAGTAAACTGGAAATGAAAACCAACGACATAAGCTTTAGCTTAAAACTAGAAAGCTTCATCAAACTTTTTGTACATACAAAAGAAATGAAAAAAAAACAAAAACAAAAAAAAACAGTAAATTTGTTAGTAGAAATTGAAAATTGTAAGATAGCAACAATACATAATCTAGATGTGAAATTTTTTCCTTTTTAAATTTTACGATAACAATCAATGTTTGTATGTGTATTGAAAAGTTTCATCAAACCAAACAAAAATTTGCAACAAACAAAAAATGAATAATAATAATGATATTTATATTATGGATAGTAAAAATAGAAATTACCGATAATAAAAGAGATACAAGACAAAGCCAATATTGGCTATTGCTACCTATGCAAAATTGTGTATGCATACAAATGTACACATATATACATATGTATGTATGTATGTACATGTTAAATTGTGTAAATTAGTAATTACTTGCGATTAGCAAAGCTGTTGACTTCACCATAAACGAGATAAGAAAATGTTCAATTGCTTTCGATATTAAGGCACGCTTTTGGAATAACTTTGGCGTGGGTGGTGTGACGATTTGATAACGGTTTCATATTGTTTTTCTTTTTGTTCTTGTTTTCGAGGTATATGTGAACAAAAAAACTGTTTGAAATTTTTAAATTTTGCAATGCAAGTGCAGCGAGTTTTTGAAAAATCTGAAATTATACATTTTAAAGTTAGTAAATAATTAACTTTGTTGTCAACAAAAGCCTTAATTTTATAATTAGCTGTCGTACGATTTCACCGATTAAAGCTTTTCGGTTTTAATTAAACGAAATTAAAAAGCTCCTAAGGCTGAAATATGGGGAAAAACCAAAAGCATGTAAATTTTGTGGCTTTAAAATTTTTCAAAATTTCAATTGCCGATCTTCGCGTAGTTTAGCAATTTTTTATAGCATGGAAAATGATTTTAAGAATATATATTTTTTTTTAATTTCATTTAATTCGCTTTATACCACACCAGCAATTGCTTATCAAATGTATGTATGTATGTTTGTTCCAAAAGTACTTTTCTTACAGTTTTTCAAAAAAATTTTCATTTTTAAATTCGTACAAATTATAAGTATTTATTAATACATGCATACATACATACGTGTATGTATACATCATAAATATACCTACAATCGTTTTGCATGCGTTTACATACATATATACATATTTGTTTGCACATTTGTGAGTGCAAAATAAAACAAAAATCATCAATTTGTACCAAAACACTGATTTATCTCAATATATAATATGTATGTACGTCGTCTGCGCACATACATATGTACACCTGCATATGATTGTGAGAAGTAAACCTGTGTATATGTATGTGTTATGTTTAAAGAGAGAAAAAAAGGCGGCGGCACCACAATAACAACAAAATCTAGTTAATAATACAAACGGACACCTTAAACTGAGGTTAATGAACGCAAACGTAAATCATTATTATCAATGAAATGAAGCAAACAGTGAGTGAAGAAGGAAAAAATGGAAAAAGGAAAATCGAAAACAATCGATCTTACGTAACTTAATTCAATTGAAAAACAAAACGCATAAAACGTAACTGTAATTGTAATTCTAATTGTATGTATTTTGTAGTTTCTAAGCCAATAATTATTGATGAATGTGTATGTGTATAGCGAAAAGCGATAAAATGGAATGCAACATTTTTTTTAAATATATATTACTATATACATATATATATATATATAGATATATATATATAAATTAATTAATATCTAAAATAGTAACAGCAAAACCGCAACTGAGTATGCAACACAATACTACTAAACTTAGAGGAGAAAAATGAAACTAAATAATGAGAAATTTATAATAATAATGATAATAATATGTGTATTATTGTATGTATGCATGTACAATTTTAAAAGAAAATCTCACAAATATGTATTTTATAAACGAAACTGAAACATACAAACAAACAAACCAACAAAACAAAATCACATTCAGCAAAAACAACAAAAATGCAAAAAAAAATCAGTTTTTGAAACAAATAAAGGAGTTTATTATCTATTGGTACATATTAAATATATTAAGTTAGTCAAGGTATTGTCGTAAATTATAAGTAAATCTAAATGAATAAATAAATGAAAATTACAAAAAAGCAAATTGGACTTAATAGACATACACATGTACATATATGTATGTAAAAACAAACAAAAGTAAATTTAAAAAATAACAATAATAACTGTGTAGTAAACGGTACAGTATTGTGCTTTTCAGTCGGCGCATGTGTATTTGTGTGTGGGTGTACGTGTCAAGTGTGCGGCGTTAAATGCGTTTATCGCTCCACATCCGACGCAGCACTCACCCGCCACCATGCGTTAACAAAATGCAAAAAAATACAAAGAATTCTCCACAAAGAGAAGTAAACACACTGTTATCAGGTGTTGCATAAATATTTAATAAACAAATTAATAAATTATAAAATTCATGTCTTTTGATTTGCCTTTTGTTGGTAAGTATCAGCACCAATGGCGGTGGCATCGGCCGAACGATTAGTGGTGCGTACTAGCGTGCCGAGTTATAGGTTCTCATTGAGGCCGAAAATATCCATCCGTTTGTGCTCAAACTTAGTCCACGGTTTTTGAGATATTTCTACAAAACTCAGTTCACAGTTGCACTGGTAAATTGAAACAATCACTTGTCGGAACCGGCCATAAAGCATAAGAGCACTTAATCAAGGCCAAAAATTCCGTCAAAAAAGCATCAAATGCAACTCAATTAGGGAGGAACCGCATAGGACAATCCCAAATAGTAAACGCTACACTATTTACGGAAAAAATGCACTACACCACTTCCGTCGCCTGCTTTGACACCACTTTCTGGACATACATTCCACAGAGGAATCAATGCAATAATTTAAGAGTTCTGATACAGATGATCCGTAGACATCTTCAACGACGGATTTAAACTAGAGGGCAAAGTAGGTTGTGAAGTTTACTCTGAACCTCTTGCTATCGCATTAAGTGAGAGACTTCCCGACCACCACAGCGTCATTCAAGCGGAACTAAACACGATAGCAGTAGTCGCTTTATGGTTGCACGATTCTAATAAGCTAACCCAACCTATTACTTATAGCACGTCTGCCATAAAGCCTTTTCAATGCAATCACACCACCTAAAAGGTCCACATCCTAGAGGAAACATCCGTTAAGACTAGCCGTTATCAGAAGGACTAACAGCGGTTAGCACAATGAAATCACGTGCAATATGACCGCACAAATGTGGTCATTGATTGAGGTAAACAGAATTACGTCTTTTAAATAGCACAACAATCGGCGTAATAAAAAGACACTGGAGGCTTACGGGGACTCATGGTAGATGAGGTAATGTTTCTGAAACAATTTTTGCCGCAGGTGCAGGGACATGCATAGATGAATAGGAATCGGTATAGCATAACCACTGCCCCCACCCAGCTCTGAATGCGGTCCGTTATGGTTTTCCAGGAAATGTATTCTTTGATTACCTTGCCAAGCCCACATCGGTAGAGATCACGAATCGAACGAAGTTTCCGAGATCGAGCAACATATTAACACTGTCACCAAAAAACATCGAAATCGGTGAACTATACAGTATAGCTAGCAACCAATTTGTATAGATAAGAGAATTAATATTTTAAGCTAAAATAAAACACCAAAAAATTGATATGATCACGGAAGGTATAAAGCCTGCGATCTGGCCAAAGAAAGCTCTTCTTTCTTGTTGTAAAATAACAAAAACACACATATCAGTTTTAATATCATAATTTTTAATTATTTTTTATTTATGAGGAATAAGAAATTTTTACTTTAAAATAGGAAAGGCAAAACAATAATCAACTACTTGCATACATATATATTACATACACATACACCTACGTGTATACCCGTTTTTTGTGCTAATATTTAATTATAGTAATTATAGCTCGTTCTTGTTGGTTCACTATGGGCAAATTAAAAAAAAAAATTGATTTTCGCTTAACTCTGTGGAAACGTAAAATACATTACTTGATAATAATTTTTCCACATAAAGCGATAATGAAATAAGACTCTCTGTATATGTAAATTATTAGAGAGAGCTCAGCTTCTTTATTAGCTTTTATAGCTTTGTTATTTTTTCATTTTTTTTAAATTGAGTAGAGAAAAACTAGTGTCATGGTTTTGTTCTCTATTTCATTCTTAGTATACCCTTTTTTTAATCACATAAACAATTATTCTCGTTTGTATTTTATGAGCATTTTCCAAAATCCTTTTTGATACCGACACAAAAAAGGCTAAGAGTAACAAAAATCGATACATACATATATATACAATATATGAATATCCATAAATTATTGAACAGTTGGTAATAAAAATTTATTCAAATGTAAGTTAAATCAAAAGGGCGACTTTTAAGTCAACAAAAGTATTTTCGAATATTTTTCTTCTACAAATTTTCTTTGTCTACTTAATTTGCCTTTATTTTTATTTAATTTAATTATTATAAATATTCGTTCTTTAATATATGATAATAAATTGGCCTGAAACTGCATATATTATATATTTCACTAAACATTTTTATTTATTTGTAATGTATTTATTTAAAATACATGTACATACATATTCATAGTTTAGAAAAAGGCTTGATAATCTTTTTTATTAACAAATTGAAAACTACACTTTCGAAAAAAAATATCCTATAAATTCTGATTTTATTCGACTGTGTCATTTATATTATTTTATATATTATTTGGACGTGCGAAAATATTTCTACTAAAAATAATAAAAGCGTAAATGAATTGTTAAAAAAAATTAAAAAAAAAAGAAAATTCTTACGCACTGTATTATTTACTTATTAATTACTTTTATTTTCTACATGAAATTTCTTTGGAAACTTTGCAGATTTGTTTGCTTTAAAAGCGAAAACTGTCCATTTTTAATTGGTCCGGTGTAAAGAAAGATATCAATATTGAGATACATTTAATAATTATTTGATTTACAATTACATGATTAAAATTAAAAAAACTCCAATCTTACGACATTTTATAGTTAAATATTCAATAGTAACACAAATTCGATTATTTGAGTATTTACGATGCTTTGTCGGTTAGCATTGCCTAACTCATATTCCTCCGAACTTCATAAGACCAAAGATTTTCAAAAAAAAGGTGGTTAATGTCACTATTGCGAGGTCTTCGAAATCATGAGCAGTCCCCTGGTAATTCAAAACGAAAAAAAAAACACAATACAGCAGCTCATATCGCATCGAAAAGATTTGACAAGCCTAATATCCATATGCTTATACAGTTTCATATATGTAGATGCAGTTGCGTATATATATATACATATAATAATACATATATTCAATATATTTCTATTGGTTTTTGGCATTATTGTAATGATTGACGTACATACGTCACATCTACCATCAAACAGCGATTGGTTTAAGGTTGTAATTGATATCAATATTACACAGTGATTATTAAAAATAGTAATAAATAATATTGTTATTATACTACATTCATACTTGACTAATCATACATATACACACATAGTGTTCGATCCGAATAAATGGTATCCTCAAGACAAAAGCGAATATTACTTTTTGCCATTATTTTGCGATACCTTACGTACATACACATAAATGTTACATATTAATATATGTGATGTATGTATGTATTACATAAACAAAAGTCTGTAATTGTGAAACAGTTTCGTTTTCATGCTAAGGATATTAAAATAATTGTAAATATATTTACAAAATGTATTCGAATTGAAATAGTCACACACGCACACACACGAGCTACCACCCACATGCAAGCAAGCACAGCATAAATTTAATGATTTCTAAAAGGCACCAAATGTGCTTCCGAATTGAACAACCATTTATCCAAATCGATTTCTTTGCGATTGTCGCTAAATAAAAGATAAAAATATTTCAACGTTTCGCCCAGCCAAAAACTCTCCATCATATCACGCAGTCTTGTATTGAATATATGCTTAACGTTGCCTATTGACGTATAACCATATGCCACTTTTGTGTGTTTCTCAAAAGCTTGGAAAATATTCCAACCCATATCCTGATAGGTACGATTGCCAGTTATAGCATAAAAGTAATATAAACTTTCTATAAATTCGGGTCGCAGCAGATTATGTGCATCATTGGGTTTCACATAAATCTCTTGTTCTTCATTCGTTGTCAACGCAAAGTGTGATATTTCTGGCGCCAATTGTGTGGGTTGTCGCATATATGTCTGATAACAGGTTTCGAGGAGATCTCGTGCGAGTAATAAGTGTGAGGTTGGCATGCCAAATTTGTGACCCAACAACAGTGTGCCAGGTAAATAGCAGGTGAGATGATCCATTTTGGGTTTGAAGTCTTTACCATTAATTAGTTCACCAATATAAACGTGTTGTTCTTTGGGCGTCCGACGCAATAGCTTGGTTAAGACGCCATCAATGGCGCGCATATAATCAACAATCAGGCTGTCAGAAGAAACGGGTAGAAGATTAATATTTTCATAAATAATTTAAAGTAATTTGAGAAATTTTCTCTTCTCAACATTCAACACTCACAAATCATCCGGCTTTCGACCAGTCTGCAACCACTGCTTCAAAAGATACTCATAGTAGGAGTCTCCACGCGCACCTAGCGAAATAGTTGCATAATTCCTAAATGTACCCGTATTAGCATTTATAAATATGGGTACTAGGCCGTCTGGTTTTTCTAAAGCATGTACTTTCTTATTAACTGCATGCGAGGCCTGTCGAGAGCAAATTGAGCGAAAAATCAATGAATTGCATAAGACAATAGCGGTAGTTTGCTTACTTTTTCGTAGATTGATATATTGGTGGAGCGGCTAAGATCACGAAATTCCAATTGTATTGTAGTAACCTCACTAGTCGAGCTGTCTGGCGACCATTTCGGCGAATGTGCCGACATGGAGCCAAGATTGACATCTGAGAATGGTATACCAGAGGGGGAAAGAAAGCAAGGCAGCATACGATTGCCAAGTTCCAGCTAAATAAATAATAATAAATAAAAAATTATACACGTTCGTAAATATTAGCATCTACATACACACAAACAACAATATAAATTTCAAAATTTAAACGACTCCAATGGAATATAGAAAGGCTTAATTCGCTTAAATTTTATAGGAAAGTTCAAAAAGGTTATCAAATATTTAATTGACTTATGGTTTGTATAACATTTAATAATGTTAAGCAGAATTTAAGTGGAAAAACGGCAGTAGCAGTAAAATTTGCCTTTAGTCTTTGCGTCTGGGATTTAATAAAAAATGCAGTTTGATTTCTTTTAAAATAGAAAACAAGTTTTGTAAATATGATATAAATACCCACCGATTTGCTGAGGAACATTTTGTCACCACTTAAATGATAAGCGGATAGCAAGCCGCCCAAAATACGTATTGTCACTTCAAACAGGTTTATATCGCGATTTACATCAAATGTCAAAAAGTTGCTAACCCATTCGCGTGCTTCACTGAATTCTGTAGTATCGAAGAAAAAAATATTATTAATAAACTAATATTAATTAACTTTTAATATAACTTGTCTACCTACCATCTTCCAAGCCCATTATGTACATTGTATCCAGCGAGTCTACAATCGTCAAACCCAAGCCAAACCAATCATGCGAACTCTGCGACAAGGGTTTCAAGTTGTCATGACCCCAAGCGTACTTTTTATAACCAGCCCATGAGTGTTTAAATGCCGCCACAACAGCGCTTTGCCGCTCATTTGTTGCGCCATGGAAATGTTGCTTTTGAGCTAAAATACTGCCCTCCAATTTGTTGACATAATCCGTTATTAGCACATCTTTGGTGCCGGGCACCACGCGTGGATTTGCCACAGCCGCTTCTAGGTCAACGCGTTCATCATCTTCAGCGGCAGATTGTGGTTCGACAACGGGTTCATCTATACGATTATCATTATTCTCTTGTATACTAATTTTATTGGGTACATCGACTAAGGGCGCTTGTATGTAGCTCTCCTTCCGGCTCTCCTGAGTATTAGCACTTTTCTTACTACGTTGACGCATATCAGGTAATTTCATCTGGAAGTCGAAAAAAAAATTATATTTATTTGGAAAGATAAGTGTTTAATATTTTTGTATTAATTAATTTCCAACTTGATTATTTTTTCTTTGGATAACAACAGATTTGTGTTTCTGGAAACATTTGTATGTATATACTCAAGTGTTTTACCAGCGCACAATAATTAATTAATTTCCAACTTGATTATTTTTTCTTTAGATAAAAACAGATTTGTGTTTCTGGAAACATTTGTATGTATATACTCAAGTGTTTTACCAGCGCTTAATAACATGACATTGTTTTGCTTCCAATTAAATTTTATCATTTTCGTGTCATTTTAGGCAGAATATTTGGAACTTTGCAACGGCCGCGGTAGCCGAGTGATTGGCGTACTATCATTCGGAAGACCCGAGTTCAAAATCTGATACGACCAACATTGAAAAGTTATTGAAAATTAATTTAAATAAAAATAGATTAATTTTTTTCCTTGTGGTCGCCCCTCGGCAGGGAATGCCAACCCCTTCCAGTATATTTATGACATGAAAATCAAAAGCTTCTTATAAAAAACATTAGCCGTTCGGAGGCGGCTCAGTATAAACTGTGGGTCTTTTAAACCGATAAAATATATCTACATACACCCATGTATGTAAGTGCATATGTACTAGGCAATTCAACTCATTAATTTTGATAGATTTATACACACTTACGTTATTTGCTGTCTAGTATTTTCAACTATTCATACATACATACATTTGTGTGAATATCAAGTATACAACCGCTTATCACTAATTAAACAAACCGCTATTTGAAGAATAATGTTTGGGGTTTACCTATTTGTATACCCACCTATTGCCGGCATTTTTATAAATACATACATATGTACATATTTTACCCAGTGATTTTTCAATTCTAAATGAATGGCCCATATATATGTACATATGTATAATTATGTATTTGTTTTGATGTCTTTCTCACCGTCTCCGAACGGCTGTTGGTTTTTTATGAGGAGCCTTTTTTTCATATCAGAAATACAATTGGAGGGATTTGCCATAACCTGTCGATGTGCGAACACAATTACAAAAATTGATTTCTTTTAATGTTGGACGTTGGGGTCAGACCAGAACTTGAACCCTGACCTTTGTGAACAGCAGTAAGCAAAGCAAACCACTTGGATATCGAGGCAGTTAATATATAAAACTAATTAGAAACATAAATATAACTAAATGTAAACACTCACATCTTTGAATTCCGGTAGATTGTCATTTGGGAAGGACAATGGTGGCGCACCAATATCTTGTAATTGATCTTTTACACCATTATTGACGGCAGCACCGGATATATGTCCATTTTGTGACGTCTCACGATTTTCAGGAAATGGAAAATCGCCGCTATTTCCAAATGATTTGCTGTTATGCGCGTCGATTTGGTCATTGTAGAGAATTAATACCAGCGTTAAACAAACCACCAATGCAGCCAAAATGATGAGGTTACGCTGACAGCGCGGCAATTGATTCCACGTCTATTGGATATAAGTCATACAATAGTTTTACTATTGATTGCGTAAATTTTGAGTAAATACACATACCCGTCGCAAGCTTCGTCGCTGTGGTTGTTTGGCACTGCTGCCATCTTCTTCCGTGCAATTTACACCGACACCAGACAAGGTTACAGAAATATGATCGCTGTTTTCCATTGCTAAACTACTGTGTTATTACCAACTCAAAAAATTTATTGTTTTCACTCACTCCAGCTCCTCGATTTATTAGCAAGCCAACGACTTGAAACACCGCTCGCCTTTACGTGCGCACAAAATCGATTTTATTTGCTTTAATTTATTGAACCAGAGTAATCAACATATTGCCGATAACTAGTTCCTTTTCATTAAAAAAAATGTATTACTTCTCTAAAAAAAAGTTTTGCCGATATAGAAAAGCAAAGAATAGAAATTCGTAAAATATTTGTACGATTCTATAATAACACGTAAACAATTTACAAACACAAATTTTTCTTTGCAACCAATTTTGCTTACTGCTTTTGCAAGAAGAGTGTTCACTGTGCTCTTGACTTGTAACAATTAGTACCAAATAGCGTTCTTTAGTGTAAACGTTATTTTCGGTGTGAACAGGAGAGTGAGAGCACAATTTTCACTCTTAATTTAGATGAGAAGCTTCGAATTTTTGCTGGGAAAATTTTATACAGTAACATACAGGAATATCAGATGATTTGTGATCGCAAGGTTGCATTTTTGTCAAGAACGTTAAATAACTTTATATGAAATAAATAAATATTTTATGTGAAGAATATAATAACAAAGGAAATGAATTTAATCGATTAAGTTCAACCGTTCAAACAATTTAATGGCGACCATTAATAATATGGTTGGGGCTGTAGCGCGAATCATTCGTGACGCACCAAATCTTTGTTGAGATTATATAGTAGCAAACCTCAATTTCTATCTTGATTTCATGTCGATCCTTTCCGTTCCTTTTATCGGTTGTGAAAGTTATTCATGCAACTTTGTTTTATTATATTATATTATGACTTTTTGAACAATGCGGGCTGATTTTCTTTATATTAAAGCCAATTGAAGAAGTCATCTAACTTACTGTCTTTTCCAAACGAACACTCTTTTCTCTCTGCTTTTGCGGATTTACTTTGCTTCAGGGGTGCATTGAGCTGTAGGAAATAAATACAGCTTCTGTAATTTTTCTGTCAGCTGAGCTACAGTAAATTTTCAAAGAAAAAAGTATGAAAAATTTATATGAAGACAAATAAATATTTATGCATCAATTGTAGAATAGTAATTTGATATTATTATTGCAACCGTCTGAATCGTCTGAACGGATGGGCTGAGTTTGATGAAATGGTTCGGAATAAATATTTTCAGGAACTAGACCAAGGACGGTTGTTTTGAAAAAAAATTCTTACTTATAGCTCATTTTACTCTGAATTTCGAATTTGCTTAAATTAACATGAACACACATTTTTCTTCCGTATAGTGGGTCAATCGATTCGAAAAACTCAAATTTGTGCTTCGAATTGTTTGAAATTATTTTCGCTCTAGTGAATGGATAATATAGGGATATATTTCAAAAAAAAAAAGAACTTCGTGTTATAAGGCATCTATTTTTTATTACATAGACATATGGAATACGTCATAATTTAATAAGAAATTTAATATTCTGCTTTAGTTGAGTTAAGGAGTTCATTACAGCATGTTATTATTCTTTAACTATTAATATCAATTAAATTAACTGAGCTTTGAATCATACGGTACAAAAAAAAATTTATTTAAATCAAGTTCCATCTTTTTTAGATATTATTACTGTTCTTAAAAAGACTTTGGCGATGGTTTCTACATAGGCACCAACAAATACTTTTACTTCCCATTCAATGAAATGCATTCAAGCACTCTTTATATTACTCTAATGATTTTCAATAAATAAGTCGTACTGATTTCCTAAATCCTTCCAGTTCGATCACGGGATTGTTAAATAAAAGTACCAAAGATTTTTTTTGTCTTCGTCTGTATTATAAACACACAGTTTTTCCCCTGAAAATACAGAATACTCTTCACTCTTTGCGAATGTTGTCACTACCGAGTTCTATACTCAACTGAGCCATATAGTGTTCGCTTGTATGAAACTCTGTGGGATTCTCCTACTCATCTCATATTCGTATTTAGTATTTAGCCACTTAATAATAATTTTTCATTAAATGAAGAAAAAATGTTATACATATTGGCTGATATCAAATTTAATATTTGCTAAACAAAGCACAAAATATGCCAAAATATTTATTTACACAACTCTTTCTTAGCAAAAACTGAAAAAAATTCACCAAAAACTACAAAAAAATAACTATATTTTAGCCAAGTGGCATAGATGGGAATTGTTATTAAAGTGCGGACGAACGTGTCCGTAGCACGTGACTGATTTCCGTAGGATGCACTAAATTGTGCAGCACCTAAAACGTAGCTTCAACACAGAAATAATGTGCTTTCTTTTCTAAAATATTTCCAAAAACACACAACGTAGCCAATCGTCTGCCTGCAACGTTGATTAGACTCACATCAGCATGAGAAAGCAATAGGAAAACAGCAGAGCAGAGAGAGAAACGGTTTCTACGTCGTACGTACTCGGTGGTGAGATTTCATTTGCGTCGTACTCCCATAAGTTTGATAGCGAGAGTTAACACGGCAGGTACGTATGATTGCGCGTTCAGCGGTATCGTTATTCACTGTTTTAAAATTTGAAAATCAGTTGTCGCTTTGCTTTCGTCATACTTTCGATTCATTCTTAATAGGGCATAGAATGCAAGCAGTTGATTTTAATATTTCGCGATTTTATGTTACAAAAAGTGTATAAATTATAAAAAAAAAAAAAAAAAAACGAAATCTAAATATAAAATGCAGCAACTGGATGTGGTTTATTTACATTTCCAAATCTAATCCAAATTTGGTGCGCATTATGCAGCAGTTCTGCCGCCAAGAAAAAAGATATAATCACTTAAACTAGGCAGTAGTTGACGATTTTTTTGGAGCCATACGAGCGAAAGGGCGGATGTTTAACCACCGTGACCAGCGGGAGTTCAAATCTAGGTTAAGAAGCTACATTCTTGGGTGTAATGAAGGCGTTGTATTTTCTGGCGGAAATAAAGAAGTTGATGCTAGTCCTATTTTTGCAAGTATTTGCACACTTTTCGATTTTAACGAATATTACTTCGGCCTTCTCTCTTTTAGTATACTTATGTATTTTATTTTTAAACAGGTGTCGAATCTATCCCTCTATCGCTCATTTCTTAGAACCTCCAACTATCGACAAGAAATTTTTAATGTTTTCGTTCTTATTGTATTTGTATGAAAAGTAGTAAATATTTGAATACATTTATTGTGTACATACATGCATACATACAGATTTAAAACAGTTTAAAATATGTTCATAAACCGCTATTTACACTAAAAAGAATTGTATTATATAATATTTGCATAGGTGAATTCTTATTATTATATTTAATATTTTTTTTTGTTAAATATTTAGTTTATTTTCCGTTTTGATCGAATTGTTGTGCCATTTGTGTAGCAACATCATTTCTTCGTCTCATAACAGCGATCGCATACACGTGCCGGCTTTCCCAGCTGACCTTGATCATTGAGCAACGCCAGCGTATGCTCCGAACAGGAACTGCAAAAGATATCACCACAACTACGACAATGATGTTTCCGACGTGTCAAACTGAACTCCTTACTACAGCCGGTGCAGTGGGTAGCTATGGAATCTGGTGCCCAAATGCCGGCGCTGGCCACCTCGGTTGGTGATTGTAAGGATAGATCGGATGAACGTAGTTGCTGCTGTCGTCTTTCACGATCCTCCAACTCTGAAACCTTTAATTTACTAACACTCAACTGTATGCCCAACTCTTCGAGTGTAGTTTGTGCCTCTGACCATTGTGTGCGCATTTTATCGAGCTCTGCGCGCAGTTTCGCGTTTTGTTGTGCCTCATCGGTGAGCTCTTTTAGGCAATTTTGTAAGGAACTTATTTTCTCCTTCAACTTCACTTCTTTCTCCTGTAGCGAGAGTCGCCATTCGCGTTCTATGCGCGATTCGGCTTCTGCGCGAGCTGCACGCTCCTCGCAAGCGGTCACCTGGGTGGAGAGAGTTTGTGAGGTATTACGCAGTATTTCACCCAAATTGTTTTTGTCACTGTCCCACCTGGTATGGCAAAGAATTTAGATGAAAATTGTAAAGATTTTATTAGAAATTAAAAGTTAATATTTTTATCAATAAATACACATTCATATATACAAAAAAAAAAAAAAAAACGAAGGGAGAGTGCGAAGTTATGAGGTGGAAATTTGTACTACTTCACTTCTCAAAAAATAAAAAAAAAATGTTAAAACAGAGGTTTCCATAGAGGGTAAAAGCAAAGAGCTAAATCAGATCGAACGAGCTTCCTTCAAATCAGAGCTGCTTTCAAAAATTAGGAATTTAGTTGGCGATTATATAATATATACCCTGATCAGTGGTAGATTTCGTGTTTTAGACATAAAAACAACGTCGTGAATTTGTTATAAACGAACATCTCAAGAGAGCTCTCTTCTGCTCAACAACTCGTTTGAGTTTCCGCTTTTAATTCTTAGGTTAACGGTAGTAACTTTTTTGGTCTTTAGAGTTGTTTCTCTTGAAATGAACTCGAAAATTTGAATATCTATTCAAATACATTATGATCTGCTTTTAAATCAAAAGGATTGATTTTTTGAAGTGAGGAGCTCAAGCGACAGTGTTCAACAGATTATAAGACGTTCCCAGGCTTTACTGTTATACACTTTTACAGTGAGAGAGCTTAATGGACAAAATAATGTACAGCAACTAACTCTACATTTATCGGTTCTTTAAACGGAACTTTGTATATGTTGCCTAATGGGTATTACCTCATTTCCCTCACTTGGGTCCGCCACTGATATAATGGAGGTGTTATCGTGGTGGCCGCAATAACCGTGGGGTTAGCATTGCATACCATCATTCGGAAGGCCAAGTTTCCAGTCCCGAGAAATGTCTAGCCTTCCGAGTGTATTTCTGATATGAAATGATAAGCTTCTCATAAAATGACTTCGGCCGTTCGGAAGCGGCATGGAATAAACTGTAGGTCCCCACATTGTTGATAAAAAAAAAGCAGAGGCGGAGCTCAGCCGATTATCGCTACAACGGTTACAAAGCGCTATTTATTTTACGAGTTCATTTACCGCAGAGAAGAGGGAACGAGTTGTTCGACGGTGTTGGAGTAAAGGAAGAGTATTGTGGGTCAGTTGGTTGGTTTGTGGACTTGATCGTAAGGCGGCGCACTTAAACCATTATATAGGCACATTGTTCTACTTATGCATGTAACAGTTTAGTAATTTAATGGTATTTCTTACAATGAAAGTGTACCCGGACCTTAAGTGTCGCTGCATGGTCCATGGTCCACAGAGGCAATTGACATTTCAATGACGAATTTAATATCTCAATTGCTGCATGGCTGCCTACCAGAAACCTAATAATTATGGCAATTATAACTTTTGAGAAGTAGATAGGTGGCAGCTGCCTGGCAGAAGGGTTTCGCGTCTCTAATTTTCGCATGTTGTTATTTCCCCCACAATTAGGCGACTGTTCTCACGACCGGGTTCTTTTACAATAAAACAAAAAGAGGTACTTATTTCATTCATTTGTGTGTTTCGTATGATACCTAAATTTAAATTTTTCGGGTAATCTTTTAACGACAACCACACTCTACTCGCTCATAACCTCACACTTTCTTTGTTTTTTTTTTATTTTTATTTTTTTTCAAAGGAAATCTTACTTCTTCTCTAGCTGTGCGATTGTGCTGGCCATATCCTCTTTTTGACTTTCTAGTTTTGTGAGCAACTCGGTTTTGTGCTTAAGTGAAGCATCGCATTCCTAAAGCAAATGAAAATAATCGAAGGAGACTTTTTATGAATGAAATAGTTTAAATAAATATTTAGTCTTTTATATAGATTTATTTATTTTATTTTTATTAATGCATACATATGACTTAAATTAAATTAAATTAATGTGGTTTTGGTGTAATTTTTACTTTGTATAATACATTGTATGTGTGTGTATTTCTTATGTTAAAATAGAGCGATAATTTTTTTTTTTTTTTTTTGAAAAATAATAGTAGCAAATAATATTTTAACAAGTAGTTATTTTTTAGTTGAATTTTACTCAAGAATACTGCGTCTGTAGATGTTTAAGTTAGCCATAATACATTTTTTTACTTAATTTACATTTGCTTAGACCACATACATACATATATTAATAATCATAATATTGTTCATGATAATATAAGCCACTTAAAATATTTGCTAACGTCTTTAACAATAATTTTAAAGTAAATATAATATAATAAAGCCTCGTGAGCTGAAACGTCGACTTTGTTTCAATACTTTAAGCAGCATTAATTCATTACGGTTTTTAATTGAGATAAGGACATAAACAACTATATATTTGTATATATGCATGTTAGTGTATGTATGTTAGTTATATGACTTATCTAAATAGTTGTATGTATTCATATATTAAATTTATTTATGATTACTATTTCTGCTCTGATTAGTTTTAATTATATATTTAGTAAGTAACTATATATTTAGTAGTAGTATGTCTACGCCCAGGTATATCATTTATGCATGTATGTATGATTTATTTATTTGTTATCAATATGGCATTGTACTCTTGAAAAGACTGTGTCTTATCTTAAAACAATTACTTTTCAACATCTATATTTTCAACAGCAATAAATAGGTATGTACGTATGTATTTATTTATACTGTTATTTTATTTCCTTTTTTTATTTTTTTGGTTTCTTTTAAATATCTTCTAAGATAATAAAAAGGCCTTTAGTACATGAATATTAGTATTTACCATTCACAGCTAAATAGACTTGCGAAGAGTAAGCCATTTTATATATATTGTTGTAATTGCTCTCTATACATTATTGTTGTTTCTTCTTTCGCAATGAAATTAATGTGTATTTTTAAATTTGAATTTTTATTTTAAACTAATAATAGATAATTTCGAATAATTTCTTCATTTCTCAGTTTTAGACTTATTCATGTGTCGAACAAAAAATTTTAACACTCCTTTTAAACTGCTCAAGTTAACATGCATTTTATTATTATCGCGAAATTCTAAAAATAAATGCTTACATTCAATTTGTTACTACTTTAATTAAATAACATTTCTATTTCATTTATTTTATTTTTATTTTTTTTTTTATTTTACTTTACTTCATTTCATTTCATTTCATTTTATTTTATTTTATTTTATTTTATTTTATTTTATTTTATTTTATTTTATTTTATTTCATTTCATTTTATTTATTTTAATTTAATATAATTTAGTTTTATTTTAATTTGTTTTATTTTATTTCATTTCATTTTATTTCATTTCATTTTATTTCATTTCATTTTATTTCTTATCATTTTATTATATTTCATTTGTTTTGCATTATTTTTAATTTCATTTACTTAATTTTTAAATTTTCTCCTGTGACAATGCATAGTCACTCTTGCAGGTGTCCATCGCCTTCTCCGGGTACGTTTTAACCACTTCGGTAAATGATTTCGCTGAAGTTGGTGTCTTCAGTTCTACCTCAGTCTCTGTTCTTTCGGGCGCTACAGATGCCGATGGTGATTTACGATAATTATTGGGATTGAATGGTGGTATAGCATCGACCTTGAGATGCAAACGCTTCACCGGTGGTCCAATGTCTTGACGATGTTTCTTGGTGAGTGCTTCGAATTTTTGCAGATTTTGTTGTCGTCGTGATGCCGGCGATTTATCGCTGCTGGAATGCCCTGCTAACTGTTGTTGTTGTTCTAGTTTAGATTCATATTTCTTTTCTAGTGACTGCAAAATATTTCCGATTTGTGAAGCTTTCGTTTGTAGTCGAGATACCATTTCACCCTTTTGGGTGAGCTCGTCTTCACATTCCTGATTTGACAGAAATTTTGAAGAGATGTGAAGAGGTTTCATATATACGTACATACATATTTGCTTGTATAAAATATGAATAATTCCCGTAATGACTTTTTTCATTAAAATAACTTAATTGAATTAATAAAATCAAAAAGTATACAGGTCAAATTCTACTACTTGATAAAAATTGTTCTTAAAAATGAAGTGAACAATTTATTTCATTCTATTTTCTTTCATCTTTGGTCTACATTTTAATATATATTTTCAATTTATTTTATTTTATTTTTATTTATAATATTTACAGTGCTTTTGTTTTTTATTTAATTTGATTAAATTTTTATTTGTGTTATTTTATTTTTGTTTAATGAAATTTTACTTTATCTTATTATATTTTTTATTTTTTTAATTTGTTTTATTAAATTTTATTTCATATTATTTAATATTCAGATTGAATTTTACTTTATTTAATTTTATTTTCTTTTTTTACTTTATTTTGTTTTACTTTGTTTAATTTCAATGTTTAATTTTATTTCATTTTAATTATTTTTATTTTCTTTATTAATTCAACTTTAATTGATTCAATTTAATTTATTTTTATTTTTAATGTGTTTTATTCAGCTTAATTAAATTTTTATTTAATTTAATTGTAATTTTTTTATTTGGTTTAATAAAATTTTTACTTGTTTTATATAATTTTTTTATAGTTTTAATAGAATTTAATTTAATTTAATTTTATTTTATTTTATATTTCTTTTAATTTATTGTATTTTAATTTTCGGTAATTTATTTTATTTAGTTTTAGTTTTTTTTACTTTTTATGGTATGTCATTTTACTTTATTTTATTCAATTTCCTTTTTATTTTATTTCATATTATTTTTGCTTAAACCAAATGACTTTAATACATTTCATACTTCACTTGATCCCTCCCAACCAAATAATTTATTAACTCCTTGTGAACAATTTTTATCTAGTTCTCAATTTTCGCAACTCATTCCCACCGTATTTACCCACCTGTAATTTGCGATACATTTCCAAATTAATTTGCTTAATATCGTCCAATTGTCGTCGCAGCGATACAATCGTATCCTGCTTTTCGTGTATATCCTTCTCAAGCAATTTCATTGCCATATCTGATTCGGCTTTGAGTGAAATTTGCAGTTTCAGTTCCTTGTCGAGCTCTGAGTGTTTCTTTTTCTCTTCACTCAATTCTGCGGTGAGCGTTTCAATTGTGGCTTTATTTGCACGATCTGTCGATTTATTAGGACTGGCTTCGGCATTGGATGTGGATACATCTTCTACGTTACATAAATATTGGAGCAAAAAAATAAATTGTATTTAATCAGAGAACAGGGACCTCTATGTAGCTATACATACTCGCGCCGGTAACGTTTTGACGCAACGCCTGATTCTCGGCTTGCAAGGCTAAGAGGCTATTACGTGCAATCGCTAGGTCTTCTTTCATAAGCGCATTTGTTGTTGTAAGGGACTCGACTTTAGCCTGAAGATTACCGACTGTGGCACTAAAGAAAAAGGCGAATATAACAAATTGGTCCTAAAATTTATAAAAGAGTCAGCGTACAATTTGGCAACACATCGCTAGTACTTTTCCAAAAATATATCACAGGCCAAAGTGACCGATCTGTCTTTTATTACAATTTAATAAAAGACATTGTGGGACGTCGTCTGTTCAGAATGAGTTTTGATTTTAATTTACGAATGCGTTGCCAAATTGACGACAGAGCTCTTAAAGGCCAAGTCGTACTTCAAATGCCGATTGAGCTCTTCAATATAGTTCTTTTGATCCAACACCGCAATCATATTGCCCTGACCATTCGCCTCCAGTGACTGATTGATCTCCTCGTCGTTCTCAGTGCTACGCGAACTCGAACGCAAGTAGAGCGAAAAGTCGATAACACCCTGCTGTGAGTCCAAATCCTCCTCCTTTACGCACAAATTACAATCGATCACATTGAGACCGACCAAAATGCCCATAATAACCACAATCTGGAGTAACGAGAGAGACGAAGTCAAACAAAAATTTAAAAAAGTACTGTTACAACTGTAAGCACACCTCATCGCTCATCATCAACGCATGCGGCTCGTAATATTCGTAAAGGGAATCGTCACGATGTTCGATCAGCGCTTGCAGATAATCGGCCAATTTCTTTTGCATTAAAGCTATGCGTAACCAAGCGCGTGCGCGTCCTATATGTGTCCGTACTGTGGGTAAATCGCGTACACTTGCGGTGATATCCTGTGCTTCGGGACAATAGGTTTCTACACTTTGTAATAGATCCCATAACTCTTTGCGTGGTCCCAAGAGACCCTAAAATAATGCATTAGAAATATAATTCAGCACTCAAACCGTGAGAGAGTCGCTTTACACACCTTCTTTGGTCGTAAACCATGACCCAAAACGTGCTCTATTACTATGAAGAAATGTTGCAACGGTAGATGGTCCGAGTCCAACATACGACCGAAACGTAATGATTGTTCTAATAATTCCTTAACCACGAGCTTACAAATATTTACCAAATTACTTCGTTCGATTTCGGCTGGATCGCGAGCTAAAAGTACACGCCGACAAACGGTTGATGGATGATTAATTAATGCAAGGGCTGTGTGCAGCCGAACATCATTTATTGGCTGCGCTCGGAGTTACTAAATGTATTCCTGTGATTTGATTCGCGTTATCGGATTTATCTCTTAGAACTAATTACAAGTATATAAATATAAAATACCCACAACCCAAAATAGTGAGATTGCACTGATCGAGATTCTAGGCGGAGCTGATTAAATTTGCTTTCAAATATCGTCATATTAGCGAATATTTACAACACATGATAGTAATTTTTTGGTTTCTTCTTCGAGGGGAGAGGAGATTTCTCTGCACGATCATAACAAAAGCTGGACTGATTTGAATAGTATTTTTAACTCAGGGAGCAGGGAGCAGGAGAATTATGTCTAACGACGTACATACATCGATAGAAGAGCTTGGCTTGGAGGTTCTCTCATTCACCTTATATTCCGAACCTCACACCGTGGGTATCATTTGTTCCTGTCTATGGCGAATAATTTGGCTGGTAAAGAATTAACCTCAAGAGAAGCCTGTGAAAATCGATTGTCCAGGAACAAGGCTTTCTATGAGAGAGGCATGATATTATCTTCAAAATGGCAAAAAGTTAGCCAGCAAAACGGTGCTTATTTGACATAAATCGTATATTTCGAACTACGGTAAATATAGCTGCATCGGGTACTGAATCGAAAACTTTCAAAGCTGCAGTATTCTTGCCCATCCGGGTACAGCTCATCGTCTGCGATATTCGCCGTTCCCAACTCGCAAAGAACCATAAATCTTACCCTTGAAAACACCTGACGCCGACTCATCAGATGTTATCATCGTCCATGCTTCCAATAAGGATATTATAAAAACCTTAGGTTTATAGAATATAAGGTTACGATAACCGCTGACGTCACCGCAACAACTTCGTCATATATACAGTGGGCGTAATAATAAAGAGAAATAAGTTTTTTTCTTTCAAAAATGTTTATGTATGTAAATATGTACCGAAAAATAAGTTACTATGGAAGGTTTTGATCAAACCAAGGTAGAAATGGCCGAATACCATCAAATAATAACACAAATTTAATAAGTACAGCCTTGGCCAAAAGTATTAGGCACTCCACTAAAATACAAGTTTTATCAAATGTGGCTAACAAAGTTACCATTTTTTTGTAAATGTCTTACATGGGTGTTTAACTGTTGATTTAACGGATAAATTGTGTAATATTAAAAGTCATAGCACTCTGGGTAAGCTAATCATAAAATATTTTCGCATTTAAAATTTGAAAGTGAAAGTGTAAATAACATTTACCAAACCTATAAAAAGAGTTCATATTTACCGAAACGCCTAAAAAAAGTGAAATTAGTTACTATGATAGAGTTAGAATTCAAGTTCTTAGTGAAGAAGGTAAGTCTCAGGTAGAGACTGCCAATTTGGTGGGATGTTCGCGGTGCGGGGTCCACTGCGATATCATACGATATACGCGAGTCTCTCAAGAATCGCAAAAAATCTTCTTCTGCCCTTGCGGTTGCCCTTTCGGATGAATTTGGTAAACCAGTTAGTGCTCGAACAGCTAGAAGAAGACTTCTGAAAGCAGGCTTAAAAGAATGTAAAGACCGTGGCTCTTAGAAAATAATATGAAAAATCGTTTGGATTGGGCTCGCCGAAACCAACATTTCACGGAAGAAGATTGGTCGAATGTTCTGTGGTCTGATGAATCAAACTTTGAGGTAAACTTAATTAAGATCGCCTTAAAGTATTAATAGCCATAGTTTCTTAACCTAGAGCAATTTTGAAAACATAATACAAATCTTATGAAAACATTATTTTTTCTTTTCTACAGATATTTGGAACACCTGGTGTAACGTTCGTAAGGCGACGGGTTGGGGGAAGCATGGAGGAGGCAGCATTATGATCTGGGGCTGCATGGCTGCTGTTGGTGTCGACGAAATGTTCATTTGCGAGGATCGCATGGACAGTCAAAAGTAGAAAAATTTTATCGCTAATTTTCAGCGATCCTCATTTAGACGGTGTTCAATTTCAACAAGTGCTCCTTGTCACAAATCAGCGAGTACGATGTGTTGGTTATAACATTGCTTTGTTTGATTGGCCTGCACAGTCTCCAGATCTTAATCCCATTGAGCACATGTGAGCTCTTTTAAAACGCAAGATTAAGGAGCACAGTATAACATCAAAAACTGCCTTAAAGAATGTCTTAATTAACGAGTAGTACGCTATAAGTGCGGACGAATGTGTAAAGCTTGTACGCAGCATGCCTAAGAGAATTGCTGTCGTTATTAAATCGAAGAGTGGACCTACTACATATTAATGTTATTATCACTATTTCCTTGTATTTTCACTGTTTTACTAATATAACTTCATTACTTCCATTGTAAAAACAAAAAATTCAGCAATTAGTGGGGTGCCTAATACTTTTAGCCAAGGCTGTAAGTAACATTTTTTTACAAATCCATACCTCATTCTTGCATATATTGGATGAGTGCATAAGTTCGTGCCCGATTTCAAGTGCAAACTAAAATTGAAATTTTTTGAAGAATGCGCTTTTATTAATCAATTATTTATTCGCCATCATGTTCGGCAATCCGCTCCCAACGTTCAACCAATTTACAGATGCCTGATTCATAGAAATCGCGCGGTTTCTCGTTGAAAAAGGTGTCAAGGTGGTTTTTGACGTCTTCCACATTTTTAAATTTGTTTCCATTCAAATTGTTCTGCAGCGATCGAAACAAATGATAATCAGAAGATGCAATGTCGGGTGAATATGGGGGATGAGGCATGATTTTCCATTTCATCTTCTTCAGTTTGGCCAGGGTCGGTTTTGCAACATGTGGCCTGGCGTTGTCATGATGGAAAAGAACTCCTTTGCGATTGGCCAAAATCGGACGTTTTTCATCAATTGCTTTCTTCAATTCGACCAATTGCTGACAATACTTGTTGGCGGTGATCATTTCTCCAGCTGGCAAGAGCTCAAAATAGATCACGCCTCGGATATCCCACCAAATGCACAGCAGTACCTTCATCGGATGCAATCCACCTTTCGACATCGGTTCCGCCCCTTCATGTGCCTGTTTCCATGTTCTTTTGCATTAAACATTGCGGTACAGGATCCATTTTTCATCACCAGTCACAAGCCGATCCAAAAAAGGTTCGTTTTTGATCCGTCGAAGCAAAGAAATTGCAGTTGACATACGGTCCACTTTGTTTTTTTCACTCAACTGATGTGGCACCCATGTATCGAGCTTCAAAGTGTACCCAACCTATTTTAAGCGACGAAACGCAGTTGATTTGTTGACATTCAATTCACTGGCAACCTCTTCCGTCGAAATACGTGAGTTATTCGCAACTAAAGTCCTTAGAACATCGTCATCAAGCTCAGAAGGCCGTCCATTGCGAAATTGATCTTCGAGGTTAAAATCTCCTGAACGAAATTTCGCGAACCATTTCTTTACTGTGCGGAGTACTGGAGCACAGTCCAAATAAACTTCGCGAATATCATTAGTTGCAGCGCCTACTGTTTTTCCTTTGCGGAATTCGTATTTATAACATAATATGACGCATATGATCTTTTTCGTTGTCCATCTTCCATGCGTCTTTTCACTAAGCAACTCAAATCAAAATGAAGTTATTTTATGCTTGATTTACAGTTCGGTGCGCCACTCTCAAACGATTCAAACGGCATCCAGCGGAATCGGGCACGAACTTATGCACTCATCCAATATAATATTTTGTTAATTATCCGTTGAATTCAAGTTTTCTTAATACCAAAACTTCAGGTTTTCAGCCCAAAAAATTTTATCATTAAATTCATAAATTGGAGCGTTCAATGAATTTTCTACAATGTCGGATATTGGTTTTAATTTTTTTTTTTAAATTTTAATCTAAATCATTCACATAATTTTTTTTTCAAATTTTTGTCCATAATATCCCACTGCACGCCTTTCCACCGTTTCGAATTTTTAAACACGATTTTTTCACAAGACAAAGAAAATATGTGAAAATCGAGTTTTTTTATTGAATATTTTATAATATTGCGCGTTCGCTTTGGATTTTGATATTGTTTTAACGTTTGTGATATTCTTCTAGCTATAGAATTTTTTGTTAAAAAAATAATAAAAATTTTTATAAATTAATTTTTTTTTTTTGAAAACTAAAATACAAATCATCAAATACGTTCAAATTGTGCTTTAGAATCTTATAGTCAAAATATTAAGTTGTTTTATAGAAAAAATTAAGAAAATTTATTTTAAAATCTTCTTGGAACCGACATCATCATTAAACATAGGACTTCGCTCTTGAGGTGACTTCGATCAGCGCAATCTCATATTCTCTCAATCTTGATTCACACCCTCCCAACTGCTTTTTTCAGCTCTAAGCGCAATCCCACGCTCATCTCCCGGCAAAAGAGGATTTTCTTGCAACCGAAAATAAATAAAAAATCATTTTATATCAAAAATCATAATTAAACGAAAACTTAAGAAAGCATGAAGAAATCTTACAAAAAAATTTGAAGAAAAAAACTAAACGATTTAATTGATCGCACGGGGCTTTTGATTTTGTAGCAAATGTCAAAAGGCCTGGAAATAATCAGTTTTGAAAAAATATTTGAAATGAAAAGATGAAAATATGTGTGTCCGTAGTGCTGCTGATGTTGCTCTGTCCGGGCGGCTGTCCGGTGTACGATTTCGACCTGCGAACTATCGAGCAACCTAGCCAATTCGCGAATGGTCTAAAACTTGCAGCCGATCTCAATTCCGAGTACAATCAGGGACTTATGAATTTTCATGTGCTCAAAGATCAAGACCCATTGGCTGCGGATAATACGTGCAAGTTGATAAAGGACTTGCCGGCTGAGCATGTTGAAAGCCCAACACGGAAATTGAAGTATTTGCGTAGAGTCGAAGATGATGAACAGTCGAGTATGGAAGTAAATGACTTCGTTGGTTCGAATCTATTCGATAGTACGCGCAAGAATTGTTTTTCACCAGAAGATTTGACTTTGTTGGCGGCACGTAGAGACTTTGAGGTATTGACTGAAAGTTTTTCTATGTATTTGCTAGGGTTGCTACTTAAAATTTCATTCTCCTTCAGTATCTTGTGCCAAAGGATCTGCCGAAATGTCTGCTAGACGATGATATGCTAAACATGTTGTTGAACTACTTTTATAACGGCAATGAACTGATACAAAGAATGACCGACTCTTCGAAAATGGTGATCGAGCGCGCCTACTATGACATGCTTGGTGGTTACTTGCGTTCCTACATGCTGCCAGTAGCTAAATACTCCTACTACGGTGGCAAGGCTAGTCTGAATGTGGTCAGTAGTGTTGTGGAACTGTACCAACAATGTAAGTCCTTTCTGAATACCAACGGCAATGGTTGGCGTATGCCTATTTTACTCGAAGAATTGGAAAATACGCGTGTGGATCCTATTAGGGGCTCGGACTGTGGTGGCGATGGCAACGGCGGTGGTAGCGGCTCTTCAGGTTGCGCACGTCTCGAAATGTTGCCAGCAAGTGACGGTGATGAGAATGTTATGCTGGTGGCTTTGCCGAAATTTGATGACGATTGTATTGAGAATGGTTTGAGTAATGTCTGGTTACCTTTTAGGAAGAAACGCAACTACGATTTGCGTTCACCCAAATCCGCTTATATATTGATACGATTCTATGAAACGGTCACTCGTTGCTATCAATCACAGTCAATGCCACAAGATGCTTTCAATAGCAAATTCATAGCATGGATTAATGAGAATATCAAACCCTCTCTATCCGACGAAGAGTTCTATCCCGGCCTTGGCGGTGTTTTGAGAATTGTTGAGAAATTAAGAAAAGGCCGCAAAGCACAAGACACTGAAAATGATCAAGCCCTCAATGAGCATATGGAAGAGATTGGAATTTCGCGTATGGGTGACGCCACCGGCGTGGGCGATGGTAAAAGTGACGATGGGTTTTCCGATATGGAACTCGCACAAAAAGCATTAGAGTACAAAGTAAAGGAGAACGCCAAACAAACAATGATTAATAGTAAGCGTTGGTTTGAGAAAAATGCCAACGAGAATAGACAGCTGCAGAGCAGGAAAATATGCGAAAAACCCAAACATCCCCAGGGCCAACAGGGTCAACAAAATCAGACAAATAAGCCTAAGAAACCCAAATGTAAGAAAACAAAGGGTGGAAAGCACGGTAGCTCAGCCTCCTTGCTGAAGCTAACACCGGAAGAACAGAAACACTATCTGAAATATCTGTGTTGCATAATCGGTTTAATACTGCTCATATTGCTGATCATCTTGCTACTCGCTATGATCTTGAGATATTTGCGACGCAAGCGCAAAACTGAGCCGAAAGCAAGGCCACCAAAGAAAAAGCGAAAATTCCCAGCATGGTGTAACTATTTAATGTGTCGAAAGAAGCCAGCCGATGAAGAGATTGAGATTAGGCATGATACCAAATCAGTTGTTGCGACACAGCCACGTAGATGTCACAATAAGCATAAAAGATAATACATACAAATGCTCTTATTAATCATTTCAACTTTCCAGACCGTCGCGCATCGACCTCCACATCATCGCTAGCCTGTCAACCCACTGCCAAATGCATTCCATGCTCAAAACGTGCCACCAAGGAATCGGATAGTGCGCCCATTATCGAAACAACATCACTCGATTACTACTCCTCGTCCGAGCCCGAAAGTAAAGTGCGTCAGAAAGCGAAGAGAGGCAAACAGAAAGTGGTTACCATCGATGAGAAGAAGAAGAAAAAGACGGGTTCACCATCACCGACAAAAGGCAAGGCAGCAGCGGCAAAATCGAAAGCAGCATCACCGAAATCCCGACTTTCTGGTGGCGCTGAACTAAAAAGTTCATCCAGTTCGGATAGTAACAAGCGTTTGGGCATACAGCGTACCGTTATGACAGACATTAAGAAGAGTAGTGTATAGGAAGGTATCATTGTTAAATAAATCAATATTAAATGTATTCATTACAGAGTGAAATGGAGTTGGCACAACAGCAAGAACGTTCGACGTCCATGGAGCGTTCGAAGGGCTCACGTAGTTGGGAGACTATGTACGACACATGAAGTTCAGCCCATATTTTATGCTTCATACATTTAATATTTATTATACGATATTTGTGCGATTAGATTCTTATTTATTTTTCGAAAGCGTTTCTTCAATTTAACACTCAATTTTATTTGTACGCCAATTTCTACAACAAATAAATTGTTATATTTGCTGTTCTTAATAATTTATTTGGGGTGCAAATCAATTCGGTTCGTTCTCAAAAGAAGGCTCCACTTTTAAGTTGTGCCCGATCTTGGAAGCTATTACACCTCTTTCATTGGCAAGGTTTCACATGTGCGGATTTTTGTTAAATAAACAGCATTTGCGGGAAATTTTAATTTTCTATTTTGATTGAAAGAAAAGTGCCGTTGAAGCCCATCAAATGCTTGTGGAAGTTACGCAGACAATAGAGGTTTCCCGGCCAGAAACCAACGTAAGGCATGATCGTTTCCGCAACATGATAACGCTCGGCCTCACGTGGCTGTAACTTTCAAAAACTACCTGGAAACGCTGAAACGCGAGGTATTACTCCAACCGCCGTTTTTTTCAAGACCCTGCTCCTTCCGACTAAAGGCTTTTTTGAAGGATCAAAACGATTTGCGAAGTCAATAGTTCGGGTGTTTTTTGAAAAAAAAATATTGCTAAAAAATTGGATCAAGTACGAAGAGAACTAATGTGAAAAAGTAGTCGCTTCCGACGGACAATACTTTGAATAATGTATTTTGATGTTTTTTTTTTTAATAAGATCACTTTTTTGAACACAAAAACAACGGTTCGAATTAATTTGTACACCATAATTAATTTATACACCATAATTAGAAACCTATTGGGATGAAATAGAGGTTATTTTTTCTACAGCTTTTAAACTAAATTCAATATTTCAGCAGTGGAATAAGTTTGCGATTTCTTATGAGAAATCTTTTCTTTGTTTTAGATTTCAGTAACACTTCAAAAGTTAAGAAGCACTTGTCCATGCTTAATAGCTGATCTCTTTAATATAATTGTGTCTTCGAAACCACTTCAATTATGATAATGGATAATTATGATAATGATTTATAATTGATACTTGATAATTAGTAATGGTTGAAGTAGCTCTTTTGATAAGCATACTTAGCGACAAGTGCATTAGTAAACATGAGAATCGAAACGACTGCCCGTTGGTGGCAAATACTACTGTGGGCAATAAGCAAGGTGAATTTTTAATTTGAGCTTCGTGCGTTTAATATTTCGGGTAAGTTTCTTTTTTTTTCTAATGTCGATAGCACTGATGTGCAACACTTCAATGAAATTAAAGAATTAGTGCTCAAAAATCGTCGATTGACTGTTAGAGATCTTATTGATATGGTTGGAATATCAGAAGGATTTGTAAAAACGATTTTGCAGAACTATTTGGGCAAAAAAAACTAGAGTAATGGGCCAACATTTCTGGGTTTTTGCATCACGATAATGCACCGTCGCACGCAGCACTTATTCCTCGCCGGCCTTAGCAACATGTGACTTCTCACTCTTCCAAAAGCTCAAGAGACCATTTCGAGGACAGCGTTTTGAGTCGATTGAGGAGATTAAGGGTGAATTGACGTGCTCTCTAAAGGCCATACTGGAACGTGACTATTTGAAATGCTTCGATAATTGGAAAAAAGCGTTGGCATAAGTGCATTAAAGGAGACGAAATCGATGTAGAAGAATAAATAAAGATTTTTAATTTTACAAACAAATTCACCTTACTTTTTGCTCACTGTAGTACTATGGAGGTGTGTTCAAAAAATAACGAAAATTTCTAGATATCGCAAACTAGGAAATAAGGAGTAGAAAAGTATGTGATATTGATTAAATTAAATTAACAAATGTCTAAGGGGAGTCTGTGAAGTAAAGCAAGAGTTAACGAGCATTTCCAAGGCGTTTAAAATGACGAACGCTCATAAATAACCAATGAAAACGTGAAAAAAGTGAAAGATTGATTATGGACGAACGTCGGATCACAATTGCTAATGATGTTTGATGAATTGTAAACCAAAACTGCGGGATTGAAATGAGGCCAATCAGGAAGCAGGGTTATGGAAACGTATAATAACAGGCGACGAAACACGAGTTTACGTATATGACATTGAAATTAAGGCAATTAAAGTCCTTGCAGTGGAGGCGTTTTGGCTCGCTGAAAACGAAAAAGGATTGACAAGTGCTTTCGGTTATGCTCACTTATGCATTTGACTCACAGACGTAGATGTCATTAATAGTGCATCGCCGAAAGAACTAAGTGTACATTAAAGATAGATTTTTAGAGATATTTCGGGGATTGGAAGAAGTTCTGACACAAGTGCATAATGAATTTTGAATTAATATTCAAAAATTAAAGCTTTCGTTAGTTTTTGAACACATCTTGTCATCGAGAGATCTAGAGCCATGCCTAAACTTGGCCGGTAGGATGGAGAGGATGATTCGCAGTAGACAAAGATGATGTTAAATCTTATCTTTGAATAAGAAATTTGAAACGTTTGCCCTTCGATCGTTTGTGGGAAAGATTAAAGCCCACCGTCAACACACTTTCGGATCTTAGCAGTTTGGCTTCAGACCAGGTAAGTCAACCATTTATCTGGTCGATATCACCATGCGCCAAATAATATAAACGACTCTTGAAAGGAGAATTGACTCCCATCACATCTTTGTCGATTTCAAAGCTGCCTTCGACACCACGAATAGAAGCTGCCTTTACGCCGCAATATCCGAATTATGCGGCTGTGTAAGCTGACGCTAGACAACACCAGAAGCGCAGTCAAAACCGTTCAAAACCAAACGAGGTTTCAGACAGGGTGACTATTTGTCGTGTGGCTCTTTTAGGTTATTGCTGGAAAAAATAATTAGAGCTGCAGAGCTGAATAGAGAAGGTAGAATCTTCTAATAGAGCGCACTCCGAAGATTTTGACATTATTGGCTTCGAAATCCGCGTCGACTGAATAAGGAAGCGAAGCATATGAGTCTGGTAGTGAACAAGGGCAAGACCAAATATCTGCCGTCATCAAAGAACAAGTCGTCGCATTCGCGACTCGGCTCTCATGTCTCTGTTAACAATAATGACTTCGAAGTCGTAGATATCTTCGTCTAACTAGGAACCAGTATTAACACCAATAACAATCCCAGTCTGGAAATCCAACGCAAAATAACTATTACCAACAGATGCTACTTCAAACCGAGTAGATAAGTGAAAAATAATGTCCTCTCTCGACGAACGAACATCAAAGTCTTCAAGTCGCTTATCGTTCCCGTCCTGTAATATGGTGACAAGGCATGGACGATGACAACCCCGCTGTTCATTTGGTTCGAATGTACGAGAATACTTCAGCTTTGAAGGTTGTCGATGCAGTATCCGCTGGTAGAAGCAGAGGAAGGCTGTATTTGGCAGCTCCAATTTGTGTCAAATTGTGAAAAATAAATTAATTAATTAATGGGGCAATGTTGTTAACTCGGCTATAATCGCATAAGGATTGTCTACGCCAGTAAAGAGGAAAAAGAAGTTTGCAAGAAAAAAAGAGTGAAAACTTACCATCAACATCATAAATTGAATATTATGATAAGATACTTTTAAGCTTTATAAAGACAGATAGTGGTGTGCAACTATAATATAAGAGTAGACAAGTCAAATGTAAGACTGGGATATAAGAAAATTGATATTATATGATCGATGGCAAAGTAAAAAGCAGCTTTGGCTGTGTGATGGTTTACTGTTAACAAAATTAGGTATAATAATCGTGGGCGCCGAACAGAGGATACGGAAAACGATAAATCGGTTAGTTAAGATAAGTTCCGAGTTGTGGATGTGCCTTTGCAAGCAATCATTTAAGGTATATTCTGAGTAGAGTGTTTAAAAAATTCAGTCAAAGTTGGAAGAGTAGGTTACAGTACTCTCCAGTGACAAGCTGATGTAATGTTTTCTTTTGTATTGCTCGAGTTGGCCACATTTTTGTTGTAGCGGCTTGCTCAAAACCGCCTAGGAGCAAAGTTAGTCTATGTTTTTGAGTTGATCTAACGGAAAGTTCAGGAAGCGAAGTGCTTCGACGGGTTCGGACTAGAAAGAGGGGGTGTTCGATGAGTAGGTTTTAGTTGACAGGCAAAGTTGTGATTAGTGTTGTGCGAGGAATTACCGTATTCAGGACATACGTTAAGTTTGTGGCGACGCCTCAATTGTGCGAGGGTTCATTTGCAAATTATCAAGCGACAGCAAACACACCCGATCTTTTCCAGGTAAAATTTTTAGCATGAATTAAACACCTCCAGGTAGTGCAAGATTTTGGCGTCAGAATGATCCATAGGGTAGCTATTTAGCTCTAGTTAGGTGTATAAGTAAGAAGTAAAGAAGGTAAGCAGTAGACATAATATTTGTAATGCAGAAAGGCAAGATGTAATGTTTTCCAAGCAAAAACAAACTGAACAACAGGAAAGAAAAATAAAGAAAAAAGAACGGCGGAATCTATGAAACTACTATTTACAGATGCAAGTGTACTTATGCAGGCAAGTATGTACATATGTGTGTGCGAATATTGCAATGGAAATAAATTGAAAAAAAGCAACCTACGGTGATTGGACCATTCACCAGTACCACCAACACCAAACACACCAATCAAGCCATGATTATTATCAGCATGTGCATGTTGTGCGGTAAGCAAGTGTGACAACGACGACGAACTACTCGTCTTGTGCACATGTTCGGGTGCATCGTTAAAACGACGACCCAGCAAGTTACGGACAGTCAATATACCATTATCATCCAAACCGTTCGACATTCCCGAATAACGTTTGTTCTTTTGGCCAAACTGTGTGCCGCCGCTGCCGCGTTGTACGCCATAAACATTGCTGGTGCTGGTGCCGCCAGTGCCGCTGTGCTGCTGACCAATGTCAAGATCTTGTAACTCCTTCAGGCATAGCCAATCGCCATCGACGGAAACGCGAAAGTTGCACAAATAAATGGTGTCCTGTACGCCGCCAGCAATCTCTTCGCTTGTGTTGGCATGTGATGCCTTTGGCAGGGCAATTGTTGTGGAGTTATTATTCTGTTGGTGTTTGTGCTGTTGCTGTTGTTTGGGTTGTTGATGCTGCTGCTGCTGCTGCTGCTGCTGCTGCTTTTGATGCACACCCAATGAGGCGCTGGTCATTACGTTCCCTTGCTGTTGCATTTTGAAGGATTTATTCGAGCTCTTTGATTGTGCGACAACCGTTGCTGTTGACACTGTTGCTGTCGTTGATTTGGCTGTTTGTTGGTCAACGATGTTATTGTTATTATTGTTGTTGCTGCTGCTGCCGTTGCTCGACGTTAATTTCCTGGTTTCGTCAGCCAGGGAGCGCATGTTACGGGTATTGGGTGCGCATAAGCGAATCAAGCTGCACGATAAAACTCTCTTGGGGATGGCGAGACAGAAAGTCCGTAATCCACAGCCAAATCTTTAGTTTCTTCCACAAATATCAAATATACTTATATATGTATGTACATGTATCGCTTTAAAATTGGAAAGAAAAAAAATACAACTAATTATAGCTCCGTAATCGTATAGTGGCTCTGGTGAAAAATCGAAATTTACTTCTCCACCCACCTTTCCACCTTCAGTGCACGGCTAAAGCTGAATGCCAAACTTCTTTTTCACAATAATTACGCGATATTCAATATTCACTTGTAGATTTGGGGCTTCTTTCCTTATTTCACTCAAAACTTTAAACTGCTTTAGCACTAAATAAAAAACTTGTTTTTTGAAAATTGCAATCTCTTTGTGCAAATTTTATGTCGTACTTTGGCAAATATTGCACTGTATAATTTGCGATTGTATGTTATATGCGACTGAGTGGCTACTTCTCTGATGACTGTATACTTCGTTGACGTTTGCTTTACACAGCTTATGGACATAGTATGGAGTCCTTTTTTAGCTCTCTGCCTGAAGTGGCAAATTCGTTCGCAACACTCGTACACATCTGGTGGTGAGTTTGCTCTCTTGCATATAATTTTGATGTTTTTATATTTCTATTATTGATTTTCCAATAATCGCTGTCACTTTGGTGGTCGCATATGTATATACGTAAGTCGTGTTTTTATATATTTCGGCTTTCATATGTTAGTTTTATTCGAGGCACCCTTTATTTATTCAAAAATTAAATTGAGGTGAATTTGTCGGCGCACCGTTATTCCAACTCCCGAAATCCATTGAGTTTTTGAACTAATAAAGCTTTCTTTATTCACCTGTTTTAAGTGAATTTTGCACAAAGTGAAACTTTGTTGGCTGAATACATTAAATGATCATTGCAATCACTATCCGTTGAATTTCTCAATACAGAGAAGATTGAGATGACCTTAGAGCAGTATCACCCAACAGCAAATGAAAAGGAAGTTGCATATCCACGACGCATGTTGCTGTTGTTGGGACACGGAGGACCGCTTTAAGCAAGGGCATTCTTATATATATATATAACAGTGGAAGAAGTTAAAAAAGACAACCCAATAACGAAAATCAAATCAACTCATACTTATTTTCCTAACTAATGGAATTCAGTTCTATGAGCTGATGAGATGGATGGAGGTTTAACATTTTCAAGGAGTGTAGATTTTTTTTAGTATATGCATGGATTTAAGGGATCAATTTTATTTGAAAATGAAATGACAAATATGTAAAATTAAAATGTGCATGACGCCTTTGAAAATTGTTTTCTTTTGTTCTTACACCGTAAAGTATTTTGTACCTACCTATACAATCAAAATGTGAACTCAGGCTTAGTAATGGGCAATGATATTATTAAAAACCACTAAATTGAAAAAAAATGTTAATGACATTAAGTCAAACGAACATGTAGTTGCCTAAACACATTTACAACCATTGACTGTAATCACCTGTTGGATCAAGTAGTTTTCACGACATATCGCTGCTTAAGTACTTATGGAGCCATATGTTTACATATTTAAAAGCAATTCTTATTTACTGCTGATTAACATATGCATAATATTATTTTATGAAATCATCAACTTACCAGGTTTTCGCTTTTTGGGCGTACAAGTTTGTGAGGACGCTGATGACGCCTCAGAAACTATGCCAGTTTGTGCATTATTTGCTCCTGTTACTACACCGGCTGCATTCGAAACAAATGCACTAATTTGTGATGAAATGCTTTCGGAGCGTAGGAAAGTTTCGCGTATTCTATTTAGGGAGGATAATGATGGGGAGCCAGATAAAACATTGGTAGACGCATTACTGGCGGTTTCTTCACTATCTGGGCTTCGTAACAAAAGATTACGGGAGCTACTCATTTTCAGCTAACACTTATTTTTTTTAACACTACACTACACTTTTGGGCGCGACTAATAAATACAATACGCACACAGTAATTGTCCAATAAACCGAAAAAAGTACATTAAATTACAAAATTTATAGCAAGACCAAAAGATTTGATGAAAACAAATTTGGCAGATCGAAAACAATAAATTTTTTTCTTTTGTTTTGATATTTTTGACATTTGGCTATTACTACAGTGGCTCTAAAACTAGTTGTGGAGAGAAAAATATTTGGAATCTTGATGTCATATTGACGTTCTTTTTTGTTACGACACAATAAACAGCTGATGGGATACCGTGTTCGTTCCATGTTAAATTATTTCTGATAAAATGAGCCTCTTAAAAAAGGTAAATTATTCATTTTCAATAAAAATGAACTCGAAACATCTTTTATATATTGCAGTGCGCGCAGCAGCTGTTGGAAAAGACAAACTTGAGCTCACAAACGATTGCAGCGACCACTTCTGCATTCCATACCAGTCCAGTATGCAATCGCGTGCAAGCCGGTCGCTATCGTGTCACGACAAAGCGCAACCGTGCACTTACTTATGAAATGGCAAATCCACCTCATTACATAGCGCATCGTAAAGCTTGGAATTCATGGAACACATGTACGTATAAAAATTTTATTTGTTAAAATTACTGTATAGTTGCATTTAAATACATAATTTTTTTTCCACACAGCAACAATGTTGGATGGACTACGCTCTTCGCAGACTGCTATTGAAGATTTATTTATGCGTAAATTTATGACTGGTACTTGGCATGCGCTTATTGTTTCCGAGGTGATAATTAAGCGACAGCACAATATGATAAGGATTTCTGCTATTGTCCGCCAAGCCATAAGCCCGAGAAAGATGTACTTCCTTATTGGTTACACTGAAGAGCTTTTATCTTATTGGTTGCAGTGTCCCGTCACATTGGAGTTGCAAACAGTGGCGGACAAAAATGATGTTATATTCAAGTATATTTAAGTTAATTTGAGATGTTCATTCAAAGAGATGTATTAACAAAATAAAGCGCAGTCTTAACGATATCTCTTTATCAGTGTACTGTAATTTCATTGTGATTCTTATTACTCTGCCAAGTTTTGATTGCTTTGTTAACGATTGTGGAATCCTGATCTTTTACCTTGTGAAATGTAATATAATGAATATACAATTTTGAATGCTTATTTTTCGTACCTGTTCAATAAGATTCTTTATGCCGACTGTTGAATTACAAACTAAAATAAGTTTCCTTAGGGTTTTAACCAACTCCAAGAATACAAAAACTACTATCTTTCTTGAACCTCCACATATCTTGTCCCATATTTTCACTAATGCCGTGTCAGTAATCACTCCTGCGAAACAGGTAACGTACCATTTTTCTAAAATTTCTCCTGGGTTGAATACACCAAGTTTTTCCAAGTGGCTTAAAAGGCAAAACATAAGATAATAAGGAGATGTTAGTAGATAATTGGCCGAACTCACTTGTTTAACTCAATATCTTCACGCATTAGAAGCGTCTGCGTAAGTTCTTTCAGTTTTTCACACTCATTTTCCACTTCTTTTGTACAAGCGAAAAACTCCTTCGCTATCCAATACGTCTCAACGTCATTATCGAATATTTGCAGAAGCACTTTGACAATTTCCATAAAGTTGTTGTCATCTTCGGGTGGCCCAATTAAAGGATGCAATAGTCGACCATTCTCTAAAAGCCACATCGTTTGCAGAACTCTACTCTTCGGAGTAGTTTGATCAATATATTGCATCATAGTAACAGCGCGAAGCAAATCCTCGTAAACAGCAGTACGCTGCTCCAATATATAATCCATTGAATTTTTATGTAAAGGCAATACACCAAGTATTATGCTCCATAATAGACCTCGTTGTGCTGTAGGCACTGTATAGCTAAGGCAAAACTGTTTCAGTTTAGAATGATTGCGTATATTGTCTTGTAGAAGTTTGTTTAGTGACTTCTTTTCTTCTACCGAATAACATCCCACTTTTTCATAATAACTTGAACGGAAATTTCGTTCATCCATTTCGGCCACAAATTGCCTTCTCTGTGTGTTAGGAAAATGTTTATTTAGTTTCTTTTCTAAGATCAAGTGAAAGTATTTTATTAGTAAACAATAGCCATTGTACAATGACAATAGCAACTAAGAAACTTAATCCACTTTTTATTTTGATAATTTATCGACAGATTATAGACTTGTTCGGTGAGCTGAATTTTAATAAACTGCGTTCGGTAATGCAAAAACCACAAAATTTGCATCAAAGAACGTATATACGTTTTATTGTTTGTATCGAAATCGCGCAATTTTGACATTTCGGTATGGGCAAAGAACGTATTTATTCATATTCGAATCCCAAGACCAAAGAAAGTATATTAATAAGAAGGGAAAAAACTGTGGAACTATTAAAGAATTTTTTGTGAGGTCAAAGAACATATATCAAATGTATAAATCTATGCGTTCCTGGCTCACAACTTTCGCAAGTACCGAAAACATTGACATTTTTGGTACATCCCAAATACAACCTTGCAGGGACTCACAAAATCAAACAAACTTTTCCCCCGGCGCTTTCACCAAACATTCTAAAAAAACGCAAATGAAAATCTGACGTTTTGTAGAATTAACGCGAAAATCATTGGCGATTTGATAGTAAAGTGCGAAAAAGATGAATTCGTTCCTGGAGAAGGTAGCTAAGTTGCTAACAATATTTTTGCTATCGTTTTTGAAATGTGGAGAATGTTCTGTGAGTAGCAATGAGTACATGAAGCGTGAACATTCATTAATACGACCATTCCAAGGTAAAGTACACTCTTTCAAAGCCGAATAATTAATCCACTCATTCGAAACAAGAGGAGTTAAGTTAAATGAGTGTTTTTTTCAATCTCTACTAGGTGTTGGCATAAATCTGCCCTATTGGGATTTCTTAGGACATACCATGGTGACTAGCAACTACATAAGACTGACACCCGATTTGCAATCAAAGAGCGGCGCGCTTTGGAATTTCTCGGTAAGATTTGCGTAGAGAAAAAGTTTTATTGTAAAATTTTGAATTATGTTTTGAATTATTTTTTTCAATAGCCGGTTATGACACGTAACTGGGAGATACACGTGACTTTTAAGGTGCACGGCAAAGGCACCGAATTGTACGGCGACGGTTTAGCAATTTGGTATACTAAAGAACGTATGCAACCAGGCCCTGTTTTCGGTAGCAAAGATTATTTCTCCGGCTTAGCAGTGATATTGGATACTTATAGCAATCACAACGGACCACATAATGTAAGATCCACCTATACCAATTTTGTTTTTGTCACGAACAAATTCTACCAGTAATCCAATAAAATAAGAAAGACGCCAAATCACCTAATAATACTTTAAATTTTCCAGCATCAACATCCCTACCTCAGTGCTATGATTAACAATGGTACCTGGACGTATGACCATGATCGCGATGGTACACACACACAACTTGCTGGGTGTGAGGTGCGTTTTCGTAATGTGAACTATGATACACACGTAAGCATACGCTACGAAAACGACGTACTTTCAATATCTACTGATATGGAGAATAAGCGTGAATGGAAGAATTGTTTTGTGGTAAACGATGTTGAATTACCAACTGGCTACTTTCTGGGTCTATCTGCGACTACTGGTGATCTTTCAGATAGTCATGATGTGCTTGGCGTCAAATTCTACGATCTGGATATAAATGTTACGGTTAGTATATGACAGTCTGGTGTGTATAACAGAATTGAATAAATTATATGTGTTTTTATTGCAGCCGGAAGATATAGCAGCGCGTTCAAGCATTATACCCCGTGCAAAAACATACGAACCACCACGTGAACACAAAGATGATCCCAAACCGGGCATGTCAAACGCAAAAATTTTCTTCATACTTTTATTCGGCATGATATTCACAATTGGTGCTGCTATATTTGCGATCTCATACTTTAAAGGCAAAAATTCAAGGAAACGGTTTTATTAAACACATCACACATACCAAACTCTCTACTTCCACTCCATAGAACAGATGTCAAGACTTTTCTCCTTAGTAAATTAGTTTAACAAAATTGATAAAGCGAGCAGCACACCACACATACATACACTACATAGTTTATATCTATGTATGAAAAGAAATCTTATGTAATTATTGTAATTTATTACTGCTTAGTAAGTGGCTGCATGAGCAATTTGTTTTTAATTAAAACAAATGAAGAGTCAATATCATTGCAGTTCATTTGACTGTGCAATTTTATTTTAGTTTATTCTACTGCATACTATTATGCAGTTATTCCATCAACAACTATTTATGATTTTTTAGTTCATCATACAATTAGCATGAAATTTATAATGTAATGTAATTGTAAATAAATAAACGATATATATATAAAAAAAGTACAAAAATATATGGCGGATTTTAATTGATAGGTATTGGAAGTGCAAGAATATATACTCGTACATACATATGTACTTATTTGCCAAAACAACTGCATTTTGAACCATTTTGTGCCAGGAGGAATAAAATTCTCGATAAAAATTTTAAAACGAAGTAAAAAAAGTATTTATTAGTGTAAAGACAACAGAGTTTCTTAAATACATATAATTTCATACAAGCTATATATGTTTATCTGCATGTTTGGGTAATAATACACGAGCTGTTGAAATAAACATCTGTTTATATAAAAATAAAACACTGCTACTTTTTGTTTTGTTTTAAGTATTTTATTAAGCACTTTCATTACAGGTTTATGTGTATATGTATGTAGGTATGCATTCATGTAAGTATGTTCTTTATATATGTATGTATGTAGTTCTATAATTGTACGATATTTCCAACATATTGTATTATCGAAATATTACTTCTAGGCATTTATTAGTACATCTTTGTTTTCTTGTAAATATGTAAGTATGTAAGTATACATTTAAGAATATTAATATTGGATCGAAGGAACATTCTTATTACTTAAAATTTTCATTTCTTATATGTTTCTCATTTATTTGTATATTTTGTTGGATTATAATTTTCTTTGTTTACAAACCGTTATGCATATATATATATACAAAGTTTAAATTTAAAAACCGTTGTTGGCTTGTGAACTATAATTGAAGATTTAATATTTTTATATATGGGTATTTTGGAAATATTTTTTACGGTAAATGAAAAACATAGCATTAATGGATATATAATAATACTAATAAATGAATGTTTGAATAAAAAAAAACAGTTATTACGTGCGCTAAAATTATTTATTTTCAATTTTGCGAATAATTTTATGCGCGTTTAACTTCATTTTAAGCAAAAACTAATTTCAAATTTAATGCGCTGAGACATTAAACACTTATTAATCGAGTAACTTTCTGATTTTCATTTAAATATTTTTCATTTATATTTCATCGAAGAATTTTTGGCAAAATTTAAGTAAATTCACATTCTCTATAAACATAAGAATCGAAGTACTTGATTTTCTGCTACATTGGCTTATAGATATTATGCAAAAATTATAAGTTAAAGAGTCTCATTGCTCTGTATGCATGTACTCTCCATATTTCTTTCCTAAGCATTGTACACTCAAACACATCACTCTAATTCGAATTTCATAGAAATATTTTAGAAAGATGTATTTAAGCGATCTAATAAATGATTTAACTGTTTAGGTTTTACTTTACATAAAAATACAGCTAAAACATCGAATTGAAAATATAATGGAAACAAATAAATGATTGTGAAAATTCTTATAAATACGCTAAATTGTGTACATACAAAGGAAACAGAAAAATACAAAAACAAAACGAACGCTCACAAGGGAAATATGAACGCAACACAACTTTCTTTATTAAAAATACATTTTATATCGTTTATAATGATTATTTATGTATGCATGTATGTATGTACGTTTGTATTTTCATAAACTTAGAAGACGCGCATATAATTATGTTATTTTATTCATGTATTTAAGTATAAAAATTCAAGTCTTTAAAATTAATAAATGTAACAGAAGACTATATATTCCCTAATGCTAAGTTTATTTCTGCGAAAATTAAATATTAATATTTGGTTTGCAAGAGAAATTCGACTTAAATTCATTATCTCACATTTATAGCTACTTATTAAATATATAAGGTGTCTACAAGCACAGTAAATATATGCACACACATATGTACGTATTTATAAAGAAATAATAATTAATTAGCAGCGTAAATTTAGTGATAACCAAGCAGGGTGATTTATGGAATTTCAATATGAAAAACAGCGTTTATGTCTCGCTTTCAAATTGTGCACGCCCATGCTGAAGAGCTTTAGTGTTGAGTTTGAAAAATTAGAGCCACTATTAAAAAAATTTTCATATACTAAACACTAATGCTAATTGAGTGAGTAGAGAGCATTAAAAAAATTAAATAAAAAAATAAATTAAAAAGATTTTTTTTTTTTTGGCAAAAATTTATAAAAATAGCTTAAATAAATGACAAAAAAAAATTAGTTCATTTTATATTATTTTTTATTTAATTTTTGTACTCTTTACCACTTTCACTAAATATGAAGTACGCAAGACGCCAATTGGAAAGCAAGACATAAATTGTGTGTATTTTATATTTTTGTAATTTCAAAATCACATGCCGTTTTGTTTCAATATTTTCGCGCAGACTATGGAATTGTATGCTATTTAATTTTCTTGGCAATAATAATTAAACTAAAAAAATTAAGAAAATATGCTTGCAACCAAATGTAATGTGCACATCACCAGGGAGCAAAAGAATTAAATACAAAATATTGCTAAAATAGTAATTAAAATGTACGAGCCAAAATATTTTAAAAAACGTTAAGCAGCCAATTTCGGTTTCATTCCGCGCCGCTTTGTTGAGCTGTTATTAATTTTTTTTTTTTTTGAAATTCCTTGAAAAATAAAATAGTTTGAAAATAATTTATAACATACAAATTTCCTAAAGCATTTAAAAACTATTTAATGCTTCATGCTTTTGCAGATTTTACAAGAAAATTGATGCTTTTCGAAAACTTAACAACGAAGCATCGAAAAAAATACATATTTAGAGAAATAAACTTCTACTTCAGTACAAAAAACCATAATTGTAGTCATTCATTTCAGTTTTCTGCTGCTTTTCGATAAATAAAATGAATAAAAATGAAGTAGATTACAACAACAAAAATGCACACTCAATATAGCTCAGTTGGTATTTATAACGTTCGGTGTAGGAAAAAATAGCAGATAATATATGTTTGTATGTATATAGGCGTAAATAAATCAACCAGCTGGCTTAGCTAACGTTTATTTGTTGCTACTGATAAGCCTAAAAGCGAAATTCCACTGCCGTAAGTATAAACGAATTACAGTTTAATATATTTCCAATTAAACGAACCGGCCTTCACCATAAGGGAAACAGCAAAATCTTTGCCATTTTATATTTCATTTATAGGAAATCATTAACTTAATGATAACGTATAGTTTTGTTGTTCATTAAACCAGTGACTAACCAGTTGCTTGCTTTTCTACGGCAAACAGCGAATAGCCACACACACAAATACGGCCGATTTGCATGCATAGAGAGAGGGCATTTGTTTGCATTACAAATATTATTCAGTAAATAATTTTTGATTATATTTAGAACGGAGTTTTTTCTTTTTGCTTTTCTTTTAGCATTTTCTGGTTTCATTCGCATAGCAATTGAATGTCTATATGTTTGCTGTGTGTCGAACGTCTAGTCTATTTGACTTTATCAAAATGTTTTGCACTTCATTATATATTTATATGCATACAAATAAACTTATATATTGTACATACACTCTACATATTGGACTACTTTTGCGTGCATTTGTTACGCTTCGTTATCGTTTTCATTTATGTTTTCATCATTTTCCTTTTTCTTTCATTAAACTATTTTATAATTTGGCCTACAACTCAGTTAAGCACTTCTCTGCGCATGCATATATTGCATTCCGGCAGAGAGACAGCACGTGAGACACTTGAATGTGCTTGCAAAAACCTTTTTGTGTGTTCTTCTGAGCGTGTTTTTTACTTTTCTTGAATTTCTTCTTTTATATATTTACTTGACTACTTTGTTTAGACACTAACTTAAAAAATACTTAAATGCGCTTGAGTGCCTATGTTTTGACTAACCCATTTGATTGATTTGCTAAAAGTCGTTATCATGAAATGTTTTCCTTTTTTTTTGTTTGTTGTTGATTCGCGATTGAGATATAAGATATTCGCATAGGTGCATATATGTATGTTGGAATAATTTATTGATATCTCGCAGACGCGCGCACAGTAAGTGCTACTTCATAACGCCACATTTGCATGGGCGCTGTGCTGTGTCGCAGCTTATATATATTAAATATATTAAATTAAATCTTCAGGCGTGTAAAATTCCATTTGTTATATATCTATTTAAAAACGTTTTATTGCTTTCATTCGACGACGCTCTATTTGCTTATTTTCTACCGCCGCGTTGCACACCCGTCAGTCCGCCACCGGCACCGGCTCCAGCGTTGATTGTAACTTTCGCCGGCATAGTGACGCCATTCGGCGTGTTATCAAATGTCGAGCTGCGTATCAGCGTTTGTTTCTTCTGCTGTTGCTGCTGCTGTTGCAGTTGCGTGGACGTACGCTGGCCAATCGCCGTTTTTGGTGCATTTAGGGCGGGCGATGACTTAGTTTGCTGAGATTTCAATTTACTCACCACTGCCGCACTTGAAGCACGTGTAGCATTGGCACGTGGCGCTTTGTACTGATCCTGCTGTTTACTTTTTACATCGTTAACACGCTTCCAAATGTTGGCTATGCGACTTTGCGCTTGATTGATTTTCGCAGCGGCATTTTTGGTGGCTTGCGCCGCCGCTGTTGCGGCTGTGTCGCGATTATTGAGATTGGAGTTGCTGCGCGTGGGTGGCGTTGTAGCGGATACGCGTGTAATGCGTGCGGCGCTGCTGGTCACACGTATGGCAGCATTGCTGTTGGAGCGCTGTGGCATGGCTGCGCTGATAGTTGCGGCCACTTTGCGGTGTTTGGGCGAACTGGATTTTGTCGCAATCGGTATTTTGCGTGTTGTGGCTGGTTGTGTAAACGTTGTTGTGGTTTTTGCAGCAGCTGCCCCTGTGGCGCGTTTGGTTGGCAGTTTAGACGAGCGTTGTGGACTGCCACCGCTAGCTGCAGCTGCTTTGACTTCCGATACTACAACCGGTACTTGACACGTGGACACCGTTGGTTCTTCTTGCACAAATGTACCTTGGCGCTCCAATGAGGGCGTTGCTGGTGGCTGTTGTGTAGACGCAGCTTTGGCGTCACCATTAAGTTGGGTGTGTAGTGTCTTCTTTGTTGTTGTCAATCGCATTGCGGTCGCCTCATGACCAGCTACATTTGAATCACGTTTGCGAAGACCATTGGCGGCGGTTGTGGAGGTCAGTGTTTTGTTGGTAGCTATGCGTGTTTGTGGCGATATTGTGCGTTGGTATTGTATGCTGTAGGGCGAAATATAGGCCGGTTTTTTGCGACCGCGTACTGCTTTCGCCTGCTCATCAGCTGCCTCGGTGACCGTTTGTAGGTCAGGTATCTCTATGGGTTTGGCGATGCGTGCACGCGCTGGCGGCTTAGCTATGGACTGTTCCTCCGAATCACTATCTTCAGTGGTGTCCTCCTCACTGAGATCATCCGAGTCTTCAACAATGGCGTAAGTTTCTTGCTGGTCATGACGCGACTCGGTGTCGGAGTTTTGGTCACACTCCATACTTGTGCACTCGCCGCCATCTGGTGCGTTTCGCATTTCAGCCGCTTCTGCTTCCGGCGCACTTTTCGATGGACCAACGGGCATAGTAATGAATTTGAATTTTTGTGTCAATTCGCGGAGTGAGGACATATTTTCAGAAGGGCAGTCGTCGTTGGAGATAAAAGTTTGCGGACCGCCCGATTCGTACGCACTAGCGTTGATGTCCTGCTTTGCCAGTTCATTGCTTGTTATTGTGGTTGTCGTTGTTGTAGTGGTGTCTGTCGTATAGACGATAGTTTGGGTACGATAACGTTCGGCATCTGCACGTCGGCGACTGCAGGAGCTTTAATCGAAGTGAGTGGAAATTTATAAAAAAAATATATTAAACAAAAATAAGTTATTTAAATATATATACATATGTACATAGGTATGTATATGTATTAATCAATATTTTAGAAAAAATAAATATATCTATGATCTATGATCAATACTGTATTTAATATTGTGCCTAAATGTAAGCAACGTTTTTAACTTAATTTTAGCATTGCCTACTTTTAGGCATATCTTAAGTAAATTTTGAAATGAAAGTCCTTGAACGGATACTTGAAATTCCTAAGTTGAATTGATAAATTCAAAGATACAAAAGAATACAAGGTCTTCCGGTCATAAGGCAAGACGCTAAAAGGAAATTATAGAGTCAGCAATGCTATTCTTTTATGGTGATACACAAAATGATTTAAGAGTCTCTTTTTAAAATTTTTTACCTGAGCTGACTAAAAAAGAATGAAAAGAGAAACTCACCTGACATTACTCAAAGCCTCCGTTTCGAAGATTTCGATTTGCAACGTCTCATCGGCCATTTGTGCCTTGACATCAGATGAGATTGTGTAGGTCCTATAACGATCCTTGGCTACTTTACGTTTCTGCTTCGGCGTTAGTGTGCGTTTTTCGCCATTTGCCGGCGTTGGCGAAGCTGCCGATTTCTGTGGCGTTGACTCAGCTGAACTGAATTCATAGTCATCTGTTGGCAGGGGTGTGCTGCCGGCACCACTGTGGAAGGAATTTTCTTCCGCCTCATTGTCATGTGGCATTGTTTCGTAGCAGCTCTGCAGGGTAACAGTATTATCATCGTAGTCTGCACCTTCCATTTGACCACCTGCCGCAGTCTCATAGTTGGAGGCAGCTGATAATGTTGTGGCCATGCTACATTCGCCATCCGCAACCTCTGATTGTATGCTAGCCACGCTTATCATAGAGTCCAATAGTTCGTCCATTAGCGAAGGCGGCTTTATATTCTCCAACATATTACAGCTCGAATTAATACTCTCTGCGCTGCCGGTAAGATGGGCAGGCAGTTGCCCGAGTGCTCGCTTGGCCACCAAACCATGTGGTAGCGACTTTCGTGGGAACTTCGGTGAACGTATCATCATTTGCGGACTCTGTGGCGTACTGCTGCCACGCCTTTGCAAAATGCCCAACGAATGGTATGCGCTCGATTGTGGCTCCTGTTGGTAGTAGCCGGATATGTTGAGCGATTCCATGCCCGATGGTGGACGTATATTGTCCAGATCCAAGCTATTGATGCTAAATGTCAAATCAATACTTTCTTCCTCATCTGCACTAACGCTGCCGCCGTGCTGAAGGTTCTCAGCTAAGGCGCGCGCTTCAATCGCAATGATGGTGGAGTTTGTCATTGCAGCGGCGGCGGCCGCAGCTTGTGCCGCAGCAATAGCACTTCTACTACTGCCGTAGATCATATGATGGCCACCTAAGGAAAGCGCAGCTGACTGAACGGCGCCACCTAGCTGGAAATTTATGCCGCTGCTGGTGGTTGACTCTTGCGGAGTGGCGCTGTAGCATGGTATATCTAGACTGCGGCCATCATTGACCAAAGTATCTGTTTCGGTTTCCGTTTCTAGCGAACTCGGCTGTGTACCTGTGTCAGCGCGTTCAAGTAATAAAAGTGAAGGCTGCGGTTGCTCCTCATTTATTGGCGTGATTTCGGCGAAATCGTGTAGGTCTTTATGATCTGCATCTGTGGCCTGATCCTCGTCCTCGTCATCATCGTCGTCTTCATCATCATAATTTAGTGAAGCGACTACCGGCGCTGTGACACTAACGCTGGGAAAGGAGACATCGTCGTTGGGGCAGGTATCCTCATTCCAAGTGTTGTTCGAGTTCGAGGTGCCGCCAATGGAAATACTGGCGCCGCCAGATTTTATACGTGGCTGCTCAGCTGAACTGCACTCGGTTGCCACATTTGCAGCGTTGGTACGTAACTGCTCAGCTGAAGAGACAAATTCCAATGTCAGTCGCTCCACTGATTTCAACATTAAATCGGGATCTTTGTGTTTTTGTGAAGTGGTCAGTGGCGGCGATGAGCGTGACTGGCGCATCTCCAGCGAAACTGTGGTCTCAATAATAAATGACTCATTGGAATCATCGCTGGTTGCAGTGTTGTCCAGCGAAGTAGATGGACTATTTAGTTCATCCTGCGTAGGGAGCTGTTCAAGTTCCAGCAGTTGTTCCTCCTGCTTACACCCAGTACTGTTCGTTTTCTGTACGACTGGACCGTTCGCGTGATTTGGAAGATTTCCTTCGTTGTGTGCTGTGGTGGTGATGCCCGTCTCCGGATTTTTTACTACGTCTATGATGTCTGCGTTGTTGGTGGCCCTCACCGCCCAACATCTCACGCTGCTGCATGAGATGTTGATGTCGTTGCTGCTGTTGCTGGTGGAGTTGCTGCTGCTGATGGTGGAGCAGTTGCTGTTGTAGCCGGTGTTGTTCGTCTTTGTTACGTCTGGAGCTGCTGTGCTGTGCGCATTTGAGTATGAAGTAGCCGCGTGTGGGTGACACAGCGCCGGTGCAGCTGCAGACGTAGCCAGCACGTTTTTTGACCCGGTCCCTGTGCTGTGACTGCCATCGCCTGTGCTGAACATTGGCATAGACATTGAATGTGGGTTATTATCGACCGCATACTTGGCTGCAGCCGAAGCTGAAGTGCCACCGATACTGCCGACGCCACTATTACTGCTGTTGCTACCGATCTTCTTTGAAATTCCCGTACTAATGCACTCCATAAGCAACTTCTCATCTTTGCGCTCGCGTTCGCGTAAGTGACGATTGACAGCTGTTGTGGCCGGCAAAGCCGTGGATGTGTTGGTCGGTAATGGCATCATTGGCCGGCTTTGCGTGTGCAATTGTAGTGGGAGCGAATCGAACTGTTTGAGATTTGGATTCGACTGCGTTGTGCTACTGCCGCCGCTGCGTCGATTATTCGTCGTATGTTGGCGTCGATGGTTGGCGCCTTCACGTGATGCTTTGTTCATGCCGGTCCGTATGCAAAGCTCAAAAAGTGATTTGGCTTGGTTATCATTCGAGTCACTCGAATCCACTGAACTGTACGAGTCATTACCATTTTGATAACGTTGTCCTGTTAAGGAATTATGCCCGGCGCCGTGATCAGATGAGTGGTGTTGTTGTTGTTGCCGTTGATAGTGGCGCGCTGTGGCGCTGGAATTGAGGGAAGATGACGAGGTGGCCACATTGATAGGAATTGGCTGGGAAGCGGAAAGTGATATGCGCTTGTTGTTATTGTTGTTGTTGGCGGTAGACGAGGTGCTACTAAAACCAAGATTCGATTTGGGTCTACTACAGCCGGCCGCGATAGCCTGTGTGTGTGTGTGAGGAAAATTGGAATTTACATACATATGAGGAGGCCACTTTGTGTAATTAAGGTCTTACTCACCTGACTTAATAAATTCGTATCGTCTTCAGAGTCGATGGAGAGAGAGCTCAACGAATCGTCATGCCAATTGTTTTCAGCTCGGCCTGCTCGTTCCGGCGCCAACTCTGAGGTTGCTGGCATATTGGGCAAATTCTCAGTGCTGAAAATATGGAAAAGAGAAACTAATTATTTTTGTCATGAAAGCTTTAAAAGAGATTGAGAATGTGAAAAATAAAAAGCCTAAGAATGTGTTCAGGCAACTTTTCAGAATTAAACTTGATTTCCAGGTGACATTTTGTATTCGGTTCTTACCTTGGCTGATTTCCTTTCAGTTGTACGGCGGGTCCTACCAAACTCGAGCCCACGGTCAAATTTGACAAACCAGACGCCACAGAAAAATTACACGGCGAGTCTTCTACCAGATATTTGCTCATTTCGTCGGTGACGGGCAAATATGGCGGCAATACATTACCACCGCGTCGCAACATAGCAATGGGATCTGTGACAGATGGTTGTCTCAACATTCTTTGCTGTCCGCTCACAGCACTTGGGTGTATTGTCCTCGGCTGTGCATTCGGCTTTTTCATGCCAACTTCAATGCATTGCTGCAACAAATCGAAAGTTTGACCAGCTGCGCCACTCTCAGAGGCGTTCGACGACACGTCATCCGAGAGAGTGAGCGAATGCCGATTATTGGTTGAGCCACCTGTTGTGGTGGGCGCGTGGAGTTCCTTCAGTTCATCTAAATTGTTGCTGGAACAGATGGAAATGGCTGACAAATTCGTGTTGCTGCCAACCTTGGAGAGCAGTGCCGGTGTGTCTTCAGTATAGTAGTGCTTTGGCTCGTCAGCCGGTAACTGTGAATCGCCGACGGTTTCACTACGCGCTTCGCGGGCCTTTGACTTCTTTGATTCGGCAGCTGTTATAGTTGTGCGATTCATGCCCATATTAATGCAATTCGCGAGCAATATGTCGTCGATGTTGTCACCAATCTCTTCGTCCTCACCTACGGAAAATTATCGCACAAGAAATTTAAGATTTTTTCAATAAAAAAACGCATTCGTTGCAAACTAACCTTCCGATACGATTGCCGGCGGCGCATTGCTGTTACCCTCGATAGGTTGTCTTGACGGCGGCAAACTATTCTCGTCATCTAAAATGCTGAGATTGCTCAGACTGGTGCGACATGAGAACTGCGCAGGGGTATTCTCCACATTAAAAGTGCTCAGATCATCTTCGAAGACACTGCGCAAAGGTCGCTTGGTATCTTCGCCCACTGCAGCATTGCCACGTAACCCAATACCAGCGCCAGCAGTAGCAATACCAACCGCGCTACCGCGGGATGGAGCAGCAGGCAAAGTGCCAGTAAGAAAGCCACTGCCTCCGCCTCCAATGTTATTTGCTTGCCCAGCGTTGCTGGTTCGGCGTGGCGATTGCGGCATGCTTTGAGTAGGCGAATCGGGTATTTCTGAAGGTGAGATGACGCCGCTTGCCAAACGGCTAAAGTCGCTAACAACCGAGCTTTTGTCATCGCAGACGCCAATCTCATCCTCGCCCTCCTCTACCAAAGAGTCCATCGAGCTGTGGCGTGAAAACATCAACGGCGTCTCTTGTGCCGAATTCATTGTGGTTGCATTGCCACTAGCGTGTGCGGTAGCTTCGACAACAACAACGTGCCTCGGCGGTGTGTGAGCGGTTGTGCTATTGTGGTCCTTGTTATTGGACTTTGACTTTGTTGTCTTCATATTTTTAGTTTTTATTTGTTGATTTGGTGGTGGTGATTCATCCAAGCTGCTAAGCGACTCGTATCGGCTAAAATAACCGGGTGTACCCTCCTCACAGTAGTTGATTGGCTTCTCGGGCGTGTATGAGCCGGAGCCATATGCGCTGTTGCCATGTGGGGCTGCATTGTTGGGCATCTGTTGCATCCTTTGGTATTTCTTCGGCTTGTCAGTGTGCTTGGATATCTCAGCTGGTGCGTCAACCTCAGATTTGACGACTGCTTGCCGTAGGTCTGTAACCGAAGCGGCATTGGATATGACGTAGGGTGTATCTTCAGTTTGGTAGCATTTCACAGTATCTTCAAGTATCAGCAGTATTTCGTTGCCATCACTAACGGCTGATTGGCCGCGATTGTTACCTGTTGCCGCTTGGAGCGCGACGCTTGTTGGGTCTCTTGAAGTCGAAATGTTCGAAATGTTTTTGCGGCCAGCGTGTTCATTAGGGAGCACATCGAGCTCGGGTTCAATTTGCTGCTCGGCATATCGTAAACTGAAGTCAGTCGGCTGATCCAAGTCAGTCTCCTGATAAGTAACATCAGTGCTGTTGCTGTTGCTGCTTTTTGTCGCTTCGGCTATGCACTCATCGGGTGCTTTGACATCTTTCTCGCAGTACTTGGCAGAGTAGTCTATTGGCTGTTCGACCTCAGTGGGTTCCACATCATTTTCCATCGAATAGACGGCTACGGCTGCTGCTGCAGCATATGGCAACTTCTTGCGATTTGCATCTGATGCTGAATGGGAACGCATCAAATTTTCGTAGGCCGTGTCCGACTTGGCGGAGAAGACCGAATCACGACTCTCACTCTTAGTCAGCATGGCGGAGCGCGTTAATCGTACAGAGGTGCCTGGGGGTACAGCACTGCCCGCCGGGCCCGAAAAACGTTGACGGTGTGCTTGCAGGACAACACTCAATGTAGTGTGTTGGTGTAGGTGGCCCTCCTCTTTAGCTATACAGCCATTGCCGCTTATATCCAAGTTGTCGCAGGTCTCAGCGTGTTGTTTGCCGCCCAGTTCTTGCTGCAGTGCCTTTTGCTTGCGTGCATTTAAAGTTGGCAGCTTGCGTAGACCCATCGAACGCGCAATTGGATCGAGTTGATTTTGGCTCTGTACTGCCGGTCGGAAGTTGAGTAGATTCTTAAGCGCAGAGGCGCTACCTTCAGAGATCATGGCGTGTTTGGAGTGTATCAGCGAACGCAACATCGGCACGGCACCGTTGTCCCACAAGAATTTCTGATCTTCCGGACAACGCGCCGAAAGATTCCACAGCGTACCACAAGAGTTACTCACCACTGTTAAGCTTTCGGACTTCAATTGTTGCAGCAGTATCGAGAGGCAATTACGTTCGCGTAGTATTTGTCGGTAGTGTTCGCGCACGGCAATATGACTAGAGACATTACGTAGTATGCCACCGGCGTTTTCAATTATCTTCAAGGTCTTGCTCGGTCCTTCATAGGTCAGCATGTCCACTAGAAAAGCGAGTGCGCCATCCACTGCGCAAAACTCGGCTTTGTTGGTGCTACAATGGGCCGACAAGTTCCACAAAGCCGACAATATAGCCTTGAGTGTATTCTCACTCTTATTCTTCATGGCCGCACGAGCCAAGGCCGTCACCGTACCGATTTCATTCAGCACCGCCTTCATATTGCTATCGGCGCGCCATGATAGATTGCGCAACACGCTGGCGGTTACTTGCAGCAAATCGTCCGGTGCCGAGTCCAGTTGCGCCACTAAAGCTTCCATAAATAATTTTTGACTGCACAGATAGGCCTTGTTGTGTTCGTCGCCGAAAGTGAGATTTGTAAGTGCCATCAAAGCGTAACGTCTTAGTGAATTACAGCACTGATCCTCCGGTTTCGGACCGTGGACAGCGTGATCGAGATGTACTAAATTCGGTATGGCCTGTAGTGCACCGAGCTCGCACATAGCATGACGATGCTCCTCGTCGAAGCTCACCTTCATTAATGACGAAATCGCCGCCAGCGGATGCCGTTCTGAGTCATCAGCTATAGCCTCGCCACCGCTCTGCAGCAGCGTCTTTAAGAAATTACAATAATCCAATATCTGTTCGAGTAAACGCAACACTTTCGCTTCACGTCTTGCCGTCTTCTCATCCACATGACTATGTACGACATTGTGTAATGCCATACTGGCGCATTTTCGCACGCTATCATCGCCGTCAGAGTGCATCATCTGCACCAACAACGGCACACAGCCTGCACGACGCAGCGCACTGCATGTTTCTGGCGTACGCGACAACTCGAGAAATTTCTTAGACATCTCCGACGGGTCATTGGAGCCCAACATCGAGAGCAACGAATACACACACTCCACCTTCGGTCCCAGACGGTCGACATCGACAATGTCATCGACCGTACCCAGCGCACAGTTGCTGTCGATGCCAGCACTGCCGGTTGTATGTGCCATTGGCAAGCTGCCATAAAGTCTATCAAAGCTGCAACTACCGGCACTACCACTGCTGCTCGCCCAAGCGCCGCCTTTCGGTATGCTACGTTGCAAAGCTGGCGGTGGCGACGGCGTTTCGGCGCTATGTAGAAAACGCGACAATGTATATGAAGAGTTTAGATCCTTGTTGCGCTCACGTGAAATACGCGAACTCGACATGCTGCCACTATGACTGCCGCTACTATGAACCCCACCGCCATAACCGCCGCGGTCCAATGAACTCTTACGTCCACCACCACTGCTGCTGCTGCTCTTCATCAATTGCCCGGCCATGAGTGCGGACTCCTGTTCCTCTTGTCGTTCGAAGTTGCGGTCTAGACTGCGATGCTCGCGACGCAGCTCATGGTCGGCAGCAGTCGCCAGCAACATGTAGTCCGGTGGTATGGGATTCTCATCGAGAAAATGCTTTGGTTTTGTAAATGTGCTCTTGCCAATCACGCTTGGCAGATTCAACGTGTTGTCATCTTGTGTGAACTCTTTTTTCGTATAGCCACTTGCGGCCAACTCATAGTCGCTAATCTCACCATCACGCTCATACTTTTTATCCATCTTCAGTTGCTCACCGCTGCTCGCAGTGACTATGGTGTTTATGGCATTCGCTGGCGACGTGTCGCTTTTTGCGCCAAAACTAAGTACACGTTCAAAGTCTGCGATCATCTCGGGTGGCGGCATGGCATCGTCTAGGAAGTGTGGCTTCTGTGTGGACACCACGTCGACGTCCACATCGACTGGCACATCCACGTCGGTGTCATCAATGATGCTGCTGCCGTCATCGTCATCATCCACCAAATCAGCGCTGGCATTCGCATTCGGTTCCCGTCGATTGCCGCGATGTGTAGAGGAAAACATTATCTTTATGCGTATTTGAAAAGCTCAGCCGAGTATCGTTGAGTTGGGGAAATATACACAGGCACGCAGGTACGCGTCTCAAGCGCTCGCTGCACAAATCAATCTAATCTTCCATGTTCTCAAATGTTGTAACTGTAAAAATCACACAGAGAGAGAGAGAGAGGGAGAGAAAGGGAGAGAGGTTAGATATGAGCATTGTAAATTTATATATATTATATATTTCTAGTTAGTTAAAAATTAGAATAATGAGCTGTGATGCGGCTATTTTTAAATGATTTCACACGTTCATTTTTTCCTCCTTTTGCAATGGCAGTCTTCTTCTTTTATTTTTGTCAAGATTCATTTCAATTGAATGCGCCCCGAGGCATGTACCGGATTACTTGCTTCGCTACAATTTACAACTCAGCTCGCGTATTCAGATTAGTCATTCACACAAAGAGACAAACGCAACCAGCAAGTCTGCACAGTGGCAGTTGTTGATCAAAAAAAAATATAATAAAACAATGTATTGTAGATGAATGAATTGTGGTAGTCAAATGTATACCCTTCAGGAGGAAACCATATTTAATCATTTGATAAATGATATTTGAGATATTTAGATTTCTAGAGAAAGTCTTCGAGAGCCCATTTTCGAAATAAAGTTTAATGGGAGCCGGTTGTTCGATCCCTAGGATTTTCACTTTCAAAACTCCTACTGTTATATGTAAGCATGATACCGGACTCTACATACGTTATCCTATTAAAAATGAAAGTTTTGATTTGAAAATTTAATTTGTGTGGAATCTCTTCCAGAGGAGCACTAAGCTACAGTCGCCCCAATTCGATGAAAGGAGTGAAATTCCCCACTTGATATGTAAACGGAACAAAGAAATTCAAAAGGTTTGACTCAAAGGCTCATATATAGATTGACTTCACGCAAGGTGGGGCATCTTTTATGGCATCTTGTAGTTGGCGATTTACTATCAATGACGTAAAATGTCAAGGATATCCAGACGACATAGTTATAATAGTTTTAAAAAATACGAGAATATATATATGTACATATAAATGTATACTAATATAATTGGCGCTTTGTAACCGCTGAAGCGACTTTCGGCCGAGCTCCTCCTCTAATTTATGGTTTTGCGTCTTGATGTTTTCCCAACAAATGGAGGGGCCTATACTTTATATTAAGCCGCCTCCGAACGGCAGATGGGTTTTTTATGAGGATCCTTTTTTCATGTCATTAAATTCCATTACCAACGCATACAGAAATTCGCCATGTGATATTCTTCGGGTTTCGTCGTAATTTACAGTCAATAAAATATTCAGTGAATGCTAAATTGCATATGAACTGTCTTTAAACACAATTTTTGAGTGATTCAGAAGATTTTAGATTGGACAATTTTCCGTAGAGGACGAGTCCCGAGAAGGTCGACCAAAATCTTTCATTGATGACGTCACAGTAGCTCTGATGAAGCCCAAAATTGACAAAACCCCACAGTTCATACAAAATAATGATTGCTAATGAATTGGGCTTGAATGCCTTGGCTGTATCGCGAATATTAAGTAATCACCTGGGATACACGAAGAAATCTGCTCGATGGGTTCCACGAAAATAAATGAGACACATTTTGCTCGATTTTTCCTAAACAAACACGAAAATGGTCAGTCCAGCTACTTGAGTAAAGTCGTTACTGGTGACGAATCTTGATTCTATAAGTACGATCAAGAAACCAAACAGAAGCCTATGGTATGGAGCCCAACAGAAGCAAACCCACGCGTAAAATCTAAGCAAAAAAAATCAGAGGCAAAAGTAATGATGTCAATTTCCAGTTCCACTGCAAAAAGTCGGACCAAAAACTTTAAAAAATTTGTTGGATTAACAGGGAAAAAGAGGTTTTTATATCATGACAACACGCCATCCCACACTGCTGAAACAACGAGTAATTTTGTTGCGATCTCGGGGATAAATATGGATATATCACCTTATGATTTATGGTTATTTCCAAAAATAAAAAAAAAAACTTAAAAGGAAAGGTCTTCAAAAGCAACGACGAGATAAATAATGTGGTTAATGCTGAACTTGATAAGCTTAAAAAGCAAGATTTTGAAGATTGTTTCGGAAGTGAATCGAAAGGCTTAATAAATGCATTGAAATCAATGGCGATTATGTAGAGAGTAAAAAAAGGTCAAAGATTACGAATAAATACAAAAAGAATTTCTTCTTTTTGTTAATCCCGTGACTCGTGAATGGAGTTGGTGTTTCAACAATATTTGGAATATTAATTTAATTTCAATAAAGGGAAAATCATTGAAAAACTTTGGTCCGAAGGATGTGAGTACCAGTAGGAGAAGTGAAAGACCCATCAAAATGTATATCGTTTCTATTGTCACCGAAATTTATCGAAACCAATTGATTTGTTCAGACATGAAAATTAATATGGGATCCTTAAAAAAAAACGCCATAAATTTGATATAGTCATAAAGTATATTTCGGCATGGACGAAGACATCTTCTTTCTTTTTTTTAACAATTTTAAAATGCAAAAATTTTTCATGGCCCACCCGTTACATGAACGGTATAAAAATTACCTTAAGTTATAAAGGCAGCACTCGTTATGCTGTTGAAGATTGTATTGTACGGCGTTTTGAATTTATTTTTATTTTTGAAGCAGAAAGTTTCATAAATCCTCTTGATATTCTATAAGTACATTTCACCCACTTGGCTTGTGTATTTGAAGAGAAGTCTTTCCGAAATTGGAAGCACAACATAAAGTACTAATCACCTCGTCGCTCATAAATGTGTCATTAAAGGGTGCTTACAGGCGCACATGCTATTATATAGAATATATTTATAGTACGAGTATATACCCATATGGGCTTATACAGGGATCTCTTTAAGTTTTCATTGCATTGGAACGCTCATCAAGGCAAACACATAAATCTATAAATAAATACTAATATTATAAGATCTTAACTATTAAGTAAATTTTATACTTTTTTAGCTTTCAATGTGCTTCGACAGGGCCTTGTGTTGTACGAGTGGTATTATGGAGTATTAGAAACTTGCAAGCATAGTCAATGTTATTAAGTTTCTGTTCTTTTAAAGCACAAGCGTTGGTTGTCTTACACTGACTTTGTATTTCTTTCGATAGTTTTTTATTATATTTCGAAAATTGTAAAAAAAATTATAAAAAAAAGCGTAGAAAAGTATTGATCTTGGAGAGTACTTTTTAGTCTTCTATCTTCTATATACAAGAATTGCTGACGCATCATTGCACAGCTTAAATCCCTGATCGTAGAGGGTGTGCTCTGTATACGACTATAAACATCCGACAAAAAAGGATTGGATGGGCAAGGTTTTTTTATACTGGGAGAACAAATGAATTCCGTCTGTTTTTTATGTTCAAAAAAAAAAAAATAGATTTTCATTTAAAAAAGTTAAAAATACATCATTCATAGTATAGTCTCATCTCTCTGGTCATTTTCGAATACCTCTGTTCTCTATACAATCATTAGCCATTCTTCGATTTCACAAAAAAAAAACCCAAACCCTCCAAATCGTTTTACATCCGTCGAGAAAACTAGTAGTCTGAAGGAGCGCTACAGCGTTACAGCAACGTCGGGCCGAGCGTTGTCATATTGCATACCTGTCTTTCGGTCGTTTCTCGTCCGTTTTACACAATGCACGGCTCAAACGCATTAGTTTTAGTCGTTAACGTTTTGCCTGACTTGCCTGGATCTTGGTCCAATAAAGTCTTCAATCCTTCAGTACGCTATTTATCTTCATAGCTAAAATCAACACTTTTGGAGCATCGAAATCACGCTCTGTATGACTTCTTATCGGTCGGGGCAAATTCACCTTAAACTTTCACAGGAATAAGACGGGCTTCAGCTGCATGTTTCTTCCAAACTCGGACATTTTCGAAGAGTCAAAGAACAATGTTGTTGTCAGAAACAGAATTTGTATTTATTGAATAATGTAAATAAAAACTTAAATTTTATTAGAAACATTTTAAAATTCTATGCGGACGAAGTGCCAGACACAAACCAGCCTGTTTATGAATTAATTCTTAACAAATTTAATCATAAATTCATTAATTTTACAGAAACTCTGTATGGTTTGAAATATTTTCAGTTAGCACATACATATCCTTGCAATGAATCCTGCCAAACTTTTCTAACGCTCTGATTAAATAGAACGACATATCACCTTAACAACGGTAACAGCCTTGACGAGATGCTACTCCCCTCCCTTACAAATTAGTTTATAGCTATTTAGAGGTGGCGATGATCTACTCTCCTTCTTGGAAGATAGTTGCGAGGTTCTCCACCTCCCCTAAGCTTACTACTCGTGCACAGACGGGTGTGTTCGACGAATTAAAAACGAACTCCATTTGCGTTCATTACTTTGTGAAGAGCCTCGCATACGGTAAGCTAACTCCAGCGATAAACCGCCGTCTATGTATGTCTTACAGTGCAAGTGGATGTAATACCCAAAGCTGAAAGGAGTTTGATGTATGATGAAGTCGGAACATTTTCTGCTCTCAAGAGCTTCCAATCAGCATCATTTTTTTTTTTTTTGAAACCGTTAATTTAGAATTTCCGAAATGAAATATTCTCTAACGAGCACAGAAACTTTTTCATATAAAAGTGAGCAAGCGAAAGTAAAATTTGCATAAAATACAAACAAACCGGTAAGTTTCAAAAGCTTTAAAAAAAAAAAATAATAAAAAGTAAAAAGATTATGAAAAAATCAAGTGCAAAAATTGCACAAAAAAAAAAAAGTTAGCTTTATTATACTTAAATTGCTTTGTTAATGTTGAAAAACAAAAGCATAATTTGTTTGACACACATTTTTCGTCGTACCCGCTATATTATGTATGTCATTATAAAAGTAGAAGAAAACGTCAATAACTTCTTTATTTCGCTGAATAATTTGAACTGGATTCACACCACTCAAGTGTTTTACGAAGCAAACACTTATCTGATCACGTCAATCACAACGGTTTAGTGTTTTTCGAATCGTAGATATTTGAAGTGTCTCTCTAGATACGTTCGAGAATGCACACAAAATGCATACGAGGGTTACCCTTCTCATTTCGGAATTACAGAACAAAATCATCATTGATCAAGGAAAATCGTTTTATT